TATATTTTGCATTGGTTACTTTAAATTTTAGATAAAATGTTTTTCTGAGTAACTTCTGTATGTTATCTTTTGTTGCAAAATATATATTTCAAAATATTCTTGTGCTTGCTGGGGGAATCAGCAATGTCGATTGTATTATCTAACTTTAGTTGAGGGTATTATTTATTAAATTTAGTGGTTTTCCCCAAAAATTTCTCAGAGGAAGAGCTTGAAAGGTGTAGTGTGAGAGAGTGAGGTCATTATTTGAATGGACATTAACTTGGCGTCTGTATTTCTTTATTTCTCTTAAGTATTAGTGTGTGTATACCGTTGTAAAATTAAGATGTTATTTTACTATATAGTTATGTGTCTTCAAAAGAGTGGAATTTGGGGGGGTGGGCGGTTTTGTTGGAATTAATCCCATATGTTCTGTTGTTCACTTAGTAGAGGATTTCTTAACACGGGACCCTTGGGTTCTTTGTGCGCATTAAGTGGGGTACAACTTTTATATGTGAAAATCTATAAACGTTTAATTTTTTGCACAAGATCACTCAAGTGTAATGTTCTCATCTTGTTATCTCTGAGCCACAATCTTGAAGTACTGTACTGTATTCTTACAACCATCTTATTGTTTTGGTTTGGCTGGCAGCAGTAGTTTTCGACATGTGGGCATTGCTTGTGCTGTACTATACTTTAACTGTTAGTTGAAGTACTGTGGTAGTGAAGTGTTAGTTAAGGTTTTTGTCTAGTGCTGCCTTTAGCAGCAGCTACTAACAGTAATGACCAACATTAATATTGTTTACATTGAAGAGAATTTGATATGTGTGGAAAATGTGTACATTCAATTATATTGGATTGAGATGTTTTAAATTAGACTGTGTTTCTTCTTGGTGAATATCATCACGAGTTTGACCTCCTAGGCACTTCTTTATCTAAGAGTGCCCACTTTTATGATAAAATGCCCAGGAAGGAAGACAGTAGCAGCAGTAAATCCTGTGAAAAACAAATTTTTCTGAAGATAATGATAATAAGCAAAGCAATCAAAGAGACTGAAAGCCTAGATAATCAAGATAAGGTGAAGGGAGGCTGGGAGACGTATGCAGGATGGTGATTTGCTTGTTTTAAGAAAGAATATAGCTGGAAGATCTAAGGTATGTACAGCACTGTGCAGTATAAGCATTACTTGACCATTATAAATCATTAATGATATGATGAAATGTAGAGTTTTGTTGGTAATGAGATTAGTGGCAAGTCAGAGAGATGTGGTACAGTAGAAGTCCAAAAATACGGACTGCTTGAGGATTAGGTCGGTCTGGATTTTTGGATTATCCAGTTCTCAGGCAGTACTTTAAAATTGAAATTTAGAAGGATAAAGAAGAGATGAACAGGTACATTTGATAGTTTATTCATTAGCATGCTTCATTTATCAAAACGAGCAGTTTTTAAAGAAAAAGCTGTGAATTCTATAATTTTATTCTTTGCCTTTTTATATCATAAATTGTGACTTTTCCAATGTTTGTTTGTTTCATTAGAACATTATACTTGATTCTTTTAATTATTTAAAGTTTGTCCTCAATTTCAAGCGTGTTCTTTCTTTGTCTTCACACCAGTTTATCTACTTTGAGCCTATTATGGGCTCTCTGTAAATGGAATAGTAGGACTCAAAATTACATCGTTGTCTGGTTTGATTGTTTCTTTTAAAGTGGCGACAGCGTGGTCGCTTTTTTTCACTGTGCGCTGTGGCGCTCATGCATGCACACACACACAAAAGCCAGCTAAAAAAAAAGTTTGAGTTTTGAAAAGTCCGGATTCTCGGTGGTCGGTTCTGGCCAATTTTGGACTTATACTGTATACATGATGTTGAGGTGGTAGAATATGATGTTAATTTCCAAGTAGGAACCAGAGCATGTAGAGGCAAGGTGGGCTGTTATATCAAGAAGTTGAAATATTCACAAGTTATGTGAATTTGTTTCCTTTCATATATTGTATACATGGTAACAGCTAATGCATAGTGCGTACAGTTCTTAAACAATACTGTACATGTCGTTACTGATGATCTCTAGATTCTCACATGTATGATATCAAATTATCTCTGTCATTTATTGAAAAATACATATCACTTATAGGAATGAATAATTACCATTTTTTAACTAAAGATATAAAAGTGTGGGAAAATAACTCTTAGCTCATATGTATTGTCGTACTGTACAGAGATTAAAATAAACTTCTTCATTACTGTTTAAATCTAACATTTTGTGTCATTCTACAAACAGTAAAAAAGTAGAAGTCTGGTGACTTCCGTAGTGATCCATACATCACCTGATGTGTTCATATTCAGTTATACATCAACTATATATGGGATATGTCATTAGCAACAGATGTGAGGACACCCTCAGGCAGGGACAGCAGGGCTACCACCATAATACAGGACCAACACGCATATATCCTTGACCGTGAATTGTCATTACAGGCTTGTTGGTCATAATGTGCTACATTAAGTGCTTTGGTTTTTTTTAAAATATTTTTTTTTTTTTTTAGATTGCTGGCTATGATATGGATGGAACATTAATAGTCACAAAATCAGGAAACGTTTTTGCTAAAGACTATAATGATTGGAAGATCATTTACAGTGAAGTTCTGGCAAACTAAAAAGTTGCATCAAGATGGATACAAAATAATTATCTTCACTAATCAAGCAGGCATTGGTGAGTAAAGAAGGTGCTTGGCAGTGAGGCAATAATTAATAATGTCTAGTCTCCTGTGATACTTTAGTAATGTTTTTAATTTGTTTGTGTAAATGCTTGAAGATAAGCATGAAAGTACAGTATTACAAAATTACTATACTGTACTGTATACTGTATACATACTTTACTGTACCTACTTTTCTGCCAAAATGGTATGTCGGTGATTTTCACGGAGAGGTGATGTATGCTGTATTATCTGTCTATTTTGTGAGGGTGGTACCTGCATATACACTGTACTGAAAATATTTTTGTGATAATTTTTTTTTCAGCTGCTGGAAAACATTGTTGCAGGAGTACAGAGGAAGATTAGCAGCATCATTGAGAGGTTGGGTGTACCAATCCAGGCATTTGTATCAACAGGAAAGGAGAGTACAGAAACCTGCCTTAGGCATGTGGAATTTCTTAAAGAATGAGGTGAGTGTGAAGTCCAGCATACAGGACTGTATATGTTTTAAATGCATCATACTGTATTAATAAGTCAGATCAGTGATATAGTTAATGTAGTATAAAAAGGATTAGTACACGAGGGTTAACTGACTTGCCTATGTATGACCAATAATTAGAATCCATAGTTATTTGGGTCTTATGTTTTTTGCTCAAGGGAGAATAGGCAGAGTATTATTCCATCTTTTTTATTTAATAAGTTTTCTTCTCTGACTTTTCTAGATATGAATAAGAAACAAATATAAAAGTTTGTTTGGTGTCAATTTCTGCTACTGTGCAGAATTCCCTTGTGGTATTCCTCAACTGCATTCTTAGAATAGTATAGTTACTGAATTAATTGAATCAATGAGGAACATGAGTACTGTAATAGATTGTATAACTCATAGGTAAGATGCTTCGGGAGTTTAACAGATTACAGTAGCAGGAACTTTGATATCATTAACCTTTTCACTCTGGGGGGGTTACTTTTAATATTTTATTTGGCTAATCCCAACAACTTTATTCAGCTCGGAAGGAGACCCATGCACAAGGGGTTAATGTTTTTTTTTTTTTTTTTTTTATAGTTGAAAGAGTACTGGGTTTCATAAGGGGCACACAACTGTCTAGTGAAGAGGTTTATGGTCCTTGGCTAAGACTGTAATGCACTTTTTTGGGACTAGGCAATCCAAGATAGGAATTTGTAAGGTTATCTTTTTCCCTGCTTAATATTTTGTTTTATATGTAATGTTTTGAGCTTATCTTTTTGTGTCATTAGTATGTCTTGTTTAATTTTTACTGTATAGACATTGTTATATCCTTGAGCTTTCCTATTTTGTATACAAACTTTGCACACCATATCTTGAAATACAATACTGTACTGTATATTAAAAACTCTACATTGAGTATTTCTTCAGCATGTAGAGTTAATACATAGTTTACTGTTAAAAGATAGTTTGATGTTTTGTGAGTAGAACTGAGCGATTACCGTAACATGCTTTTATTTATTGGCATTTATGACATTAAAGAATTTTTTTTGGATTTAGCCAACTCTTTTTCATGCATGTAAATGTTCCCACCCAAGAACAGAATGACATCATGGGACTTCATCACGTTACAATATTCTTTCTGACTCTGTCTAGTTTTGTTAATTCCAGTGAAGTCATTCTATTATTTTGTTTTCATTTTTCACATGATCTCTACCATCTGCTCAACTTGATCTAGTTCTGTATATACACACTCCAGATAATGACACCTTTCTCTGTTGTGTTCTGCAACTTCTCCTCCTCCCTGCTACCATACTGTACTGTACTGTATAGGTTTCCTTATTGAGCTTTCATTCATTAATATTCAAACTTATTGGTTTAATTGATAAGATTAACCCTGGCTGAGTGTTCCAAGACTGTAAACCCTGTGTGTCGTGATGGTTTCATGTAGTTTTTGATCAGGAGTTTTCAGAATTTTTGTTGAAAATATAATAATAGAGTTTATAAATATTGTTAATAACAAATAATTAGTTTTAGAACATTTTTTAAAGGTTGACTTGCTTTAAATGTAAAAATGATTTATTAATATACAATACAGTACAGTATACTGTATTGTATATACTGTACTTTTTATCACACCTACATGCATTAGAATATTTTCACTATTACAGGCAAATGGTGGAGTGGATATAGATATGGATGAAAGTCTGTATGTGGGGGATGCTGCTGGTCGGCCTGCAGAAGGGTCTCGGAAAAAGAAGGATTTTTCCTTTTCAGATCGTTTGTTTGCCCTCAACATTGGGATACAGTTTTTCACACCTGAAGAACACTTTTTAGGTAAGCATACTGTATATTAGTGATTTGATGATTTAATTGTCTATCATGGGAAGAAACTGTTCTGTATGTGAAGTTAATCATGAGACCTAGGCAAGGCTGGAGAAACTCAACTTTGGGATACAGTATATCCCTGGACTGTATCAATGAGCTCCGTGACCTAGGTGACATGATCAGTGCTGGAGGTGGTGCTGAAGCCTGCTCAGAAGTGGCTGGAGGAAGTTTAGGGAGTTGTTGCCTTTATTGGTGGCAAGGGGACCTTCCCTCCATGTGAAAGGAAATATGTATGCAATTGGAGTGAGGAGTGTGATGTTGTTTGTCAGTGAAACATGGATGGTTAAAGTGGATGACATAATGCAGGCTTGAGCAAGCTGATATGATAATGGTGAGGTGGATGTACAATGTGACGCTGAATGATAAGAAACCCTGTCGAGAGTTAAGAGAACCACTGGGTTTTGAGAGTATTGGTGAGGTTTTGCATAAAGGTACAGTAGGTTGATATGGTTTAGGCATATGGGGAGAATAGAAGAGAAAAATTAAGCTAAGAAATGCAAAAGAAACAAATATAATTATGAAATTGATGGTTTGAATTTATAGGCTTTGGAGTGAGGGGAGTGTGTCAGGCTAAATTACCTACATATCCTTAAAGCTTGTGAATATCTCAAGATGTACTGGTGTGATTAAGTAAAGTTTACATGTGTTCTCCATCTGGTTGTGGGGATTGTTCGACCTACAAGGGCAAAATAAATATTTCTATCATTTTCATCCAACTGTAATCTTTGCTTTAACATCATAGTTTCAATCCTTATTTTAAACTTATAAACTTGCAGTCTTGTTTCAATAATTAGTCCTAGCCTTATCCTCCAACGGTTACACTATATTGATGTAAAAAACAAAATAATTCCACATCATGAATTTTGTTAATTGCAATTCCATTTTCACTTTTTTTTTAGTTTAAACATATCTGTAATTTTGTGATTTCTGTAATTGTGTGTCATAGAGGATTTAAATAATGATGAACAAATGTAAGAACTGTAAAGAAAAATATTTCTTTCAGGATGCCAAACTCAGAAGTTTAATATGCCTGAGTTTGACCCTCGTGCTTGTGATGACTCGTTGCCATTATTTGATCCACCTTCCACAAGAGTTCCTAAACATAAGCTTGAGGTCAGTAATAAAAGTTTAATAGGCTTCCCTTTTTTTATGTGATCAAATTAATAGTAATAAGTTATTGAATGTATCTTGTGGTGATAAATGAGAAAGGTTTGTAAAAAAGCAAGTTTTGTCAATTTATGTTAAAGATTGTTAAGTCATCCATAAGAGTGCAGTGGCTGAATGGATATAGCACTCACATCCTGTTCCAGAGGTTTATGGTTTGAGTCCCGGGCGCTCCCAGTTCACCCAGCTGTAAATGGGTACCTAATTTACACCTTGAGGGAAGTGGTTGCGGTCGAGTGCAGTACCAGCCATGCTGCCTCCTTGTGTACCGAAGGCTTAATATACTGTACAGTGTGCTGTATCCACTCTGTCCGTAACAGGCAGTCATGCCTATGGGACCCACTTTCACTTTTCAAGTCATCCATAAGATCCAAATTTTTCTTTTAGGACATCCTGAGTAGTTTAGGTTGATCTGGAGTCTTGGTTTAGGGAACCAGTTGTGTTAATGTAGTGTGGAACAACCAAGTGCACTTGTAATATGGTCTATACTATTTTAAGTTGGATTGCCCTTCTCCAAGGTCAACTCCCAACCAAGGCTATTGAATTCCATCTTTAAGGGTTTGTGCTGGAAGTGTTTAGTCTTCTCGGGTGACACCTGGCCATGGCTGTAGAGCTTCACCAATACTAGTTGGACTGGGGAGTACTGTACCACCAGACTACCAGAGTGTACTGTATTCACATATCTGTGTGTTATGCACACTGCAGCTCTGGAGCTCTAAGTGTACTGTGAGATCCTTCATAGAGTTACACTAATCTTTGGGGTTATGTGATTAAGAAATTAATGAAGGATGACATGAACCAAATTAAAAATAAAATAAGGTAATAGTCCTACAGGTCACTGCTTGTAAACAGCACTAGGCATCATGTCCAACATGTGCACATTTATAATGATTTTAAGTAAACAAATGTATTTTTGTAACTTCAAGTATGGAACCTGACCTTGGGTAGTGGAGTCATGGGATGCCTAACTCTTTAAACAGAGGATAAGTATTCCCTACCCTGCCTCCATATGCACAAAATTAGAATGTAAAGAACATGAAATATCCACATTGATGCTGCCATCTTTATTCTTAACTTTTAGTAATGATGACTGTGTGTGAGGGTTAAACAGAGCATCATGAGTTGAGATTTTTGCTTTTTCTTTTTCAGTACAATACTGTATCAGTATTTTTCAGCAGTACCTGTACTTGTTTTAGAGACTTAGGAAACTGATTCCTGGACTTTAGAGGTTCTGCTGCACAGTATGTATTTGATTAACAAACATGTAGAGTGTAATGAGGAATCAGTTTAAAACAAGAAACTGAAGAAAAATAAAGAGGTGTGTGTGTGGATACTCTCGGTCCTTTTCTTTATTTTCTAAAAAAGGTAGAGTCTTCATTGTCCATAATTGAATACCATAATATAAACTATGTACATTGGATTTTACTGATACGTTTTATTTTTTTTCAGGTAATCATACTGGTTGGGTATCCTGGATCTGGGAAAAGCTTTCTCTCATTAACACATTTTGCTGGTTTGGGATATGTCCAGGCTAACCGAGATACTGTTGGCAATTGGCAGAAATGTGTGGCTATAATGGAAAAATCTTTGCAGGTAAGAAACACTGTAGGGTTGTGATGTAATGTATTTAAATGACAAGTGTGTTTTAGTCACAAAAAAACAATATTTTATACAAACTCATGAAATAAACCAGGTTTTTGTCACTAGATAAATAGCACTGATATTTTGTAATAGTTTTAAAATATGGTTGCAAAATATTGTTGGTAGGAATTCTTGTTATTTTATGACTGAATACTGTATTGGGGTTTCTTTGTCAATCATAGAAGTATTGATTCAGTCTAAGTAATTATTTTAGATCAAGTGCAAAATTTGTTCGTTGATATATACGCTCAACAGGATGGACACCATGTGGTAATTGACAACACCAACCCAGATGTTGAGGTCCATAAGAAATATATTGATGCAGCAAAAAAATCAATTCCAGTGAGGTGTTTTGTCTTCAACTTGTCCAAAGACCATTGCAGACACAACAATAAGGTTTGTACATTTGACATCTTCATTGAAAACATTAATACCCCATTTCACCTGATGATCAAACACCTTAACACTAAATCTACCCCAGATAGCATTAAGGTGTTGTTTAATCATTGGGTGGAGTAAGTGTCTAATGCTCAGGTGGTCCAAAGTTTTTTGACTGATTCATAAGCTATCTATATTTGTTTGGGTGTATGGGAATTCACGGTGGATGGAAATAAAGTCCACAGGAAAAATGTCACATGACTTGTAAATTGACAACACAATATATATATATATATATATATATATATATATATATATATATATATATATATATATATATATATATATATATATATATATATATATATATATATATATATATATATATATATACACAACTCACTTTACGCTGTGCCCTGCCAGAACCCAGGATGCTCATACATTCCAGGTGGGTGTACCTTACACGAAGTATAATTTTTTTTATTTAGCTCATAAAATTCATACAAATTATCTGCCAGAATTACATTGCTGGAATTCTTACAATTGATGATCATTTTGAATATAAACATCATAGATTTTGCATTAGACATACAAATTTTAGATGTAATGTTTACTCTTGAGTAAATATGTTATCTTTGTGCAAAATATATGATATTTATATTCAAAATATTCCTGGTCTTAAGGGAATCCAGCAATGTCAATTATATTATCCTAACTTTAGTCTGATTTATTATTTATTACTAAAAAGGTAAACAGTCTGGTATTCCCACACATTTATCTAGTAGGGACGTTGGGGGGGGAGGAGGAGGACCGCGAATGACCATCTGTTACTGTGAAGAATATTTTTTTTATTAACTGAAGATTTTATATTTTGCATTTGAAATAATCACACTGATATCTTGTGCAAAATATGACGCTTATATTTACCTGTTTACAGGAATCCAGCAATGTCAATTATCCTAACTTTATCTGGAGGTATTTACCAAATGTTGCCTAGTGTTTTCACCACTCTTCTGGGAGGACTTGATATGTCGTGAATATTTTTTTTTTTTTTTAATGTTTTAGTCAATTTTATATTTATATTTTAGATAAAATTTTTCTCTGGTAACTATTTATCTTTGATATATAATTTATTCTGTAGCTGAACCAGCAATGTCAATTTATCCCAACTTTTGAGGCAATTTTATTTTACTAGAACTGTTAGTGGAGTTTGGGGTCAGCTGGTCTTATTTCAAATCCCATATGTTATGTTATTCACTTACGCTTTCACTTCCGCTGCACCCGAGTTACATTAACCGCGAAAGTGAGGGTTGACTGTATATATACATTTTCACTTAACGCGTCAATAAAACCCAGAGGGTACCGTGTAGTGAAACCGCTATGAACAACAGAACATATGGGATTAATTCCAATAGAAACCGCCCACCCCAAACTCCACTTTTGAAGACACATAACTATGTTGTAGTAAAATAACATCTTAATTTTATGATGGTACATGCACACAATTACTTAAGAGAAATTGAGAAATACAGTCAGTTAATGTCCTTTCAAATAATGGACTCCAATCCTCTCACACTACACTGCTGGCTCTTCCTCTGAGAAATTTTTGGGGAAAACCACTAAATTTTAATAAATAATACTCAAACTAAAGAGATAATACAATTGACATTGCTGATTCCTTGTAAGACTAGGAATATTTTGAATATAAATGTCATATATTTGCACAAAAGATAACATATTTACTCAGAGAAAACATTTTATCTAAAATTTGTATGTCTAATGCAAAATATATGATGTTTATATTCAAATGATCACCAAATTATAAGAATTCCAGCAATGTAAATTATATTCTGGCTGGGTAATTTGTATGAATTTATGAGCTAAAACAAAATCTTCAGTTAATCAAAAAAAATATTCTTCACTTAACTATCTGTCAATCAAAGTACCCCACCTTGCCTCTTCCAACCGCCTGTCAGTCCCAACCTCCCCACCCCCAACAATCCTCTTCAAGAGATGTTGGGTGAAATAACATTTTTAATAAATAATACCTCAAACTAAAGTTAGGATAATACAATTGACATTGCTGGATTCCTTGTAAGACCAGGAATATTTTGAATATAAATGTCATATATTTTGCACAAAAGATAACATATTTACTCAGAGAAAACATTTTATCTAAAATTTGTATGTCTAATGCAAAATATATGATGTTTATATTCAAAATGATAATCAAATTATAAGAATTCCAGCAATGTAAATTATATTCTGGCCGGGTAATTTGTATGAATTTTATGAGCTAAAACAGGCAGTCAGGCAGGGTGGCGGGTGGGGCAAATCTAAAAATAGCATCTTGAGCCGGACACTCACCGCGTATGTGGAAAAAACCCGCGTTAAGTGAAAGTTCAGCTCTTGCGAGGCACCGCGTATACGGTAAAACGTGCTAAGTGAAACCGCGTTAGGCGGGGTAATACTGTGTGTGTGTGTGTGTGTGTATATATATATATATATATATATATATATATATATATATATATATATATATATATATATATATATATATATATATATATATATATATATATATATATATATATATATATATATATATATATATATATATATATATATATATATATATATATATATATATATATATGATGCCATTGCAATTTAAGTTAGGTTATTTTAGGTTAGGTTTTTCCAGTTTTTTCTGACTTTTTTTTCTGATCTGTGAATTCACAGTTCTGCATTTACTGTACTATTCGTTTTTTTTTTTTTTTAGCTATTGTACTGAGGTATGTCCTGTAGGGTACACAGTTTTGTGTGCCTAGATTTATTTAGTATAGTGTATAGTGTCTAACCCTTTGTCTGTAGATATATTGGTTGTTCAGATTGAAAGTTCATTCCAGGTTGGGAGACATTCTTGTGATTAACTTAGAGAAGGCATTTGACAGGGTATTAATGAAGTAGTAAAGTGGCCAATGAGAAAGCTAGGAGTCAGGGAGTATCTTGATCAAGTGGTTATGGCATTACATGAGGACTCAAAAATCTCTGAGAGTAAAGTGAGGAATTTGAGGTTGAAGTAGAAATCCATCATGGGCCGGAGGCTTTGTCATAAGACTTTAGGGCTGCCCAGTATTTGCTGATGACTTAGTTGTGATAACAGATACTGTAGTATTGAAGAGGCAGTGGAGAAATTTAGGAAATGGAAGGATGGGATACAGGCAAAAGGTCTGCGAGTGTATGTGGCAAAAACAACAATATTAGTAAGTGGTGTGGGTGAAGGACCTGTGGTGGAAATTAGAAAATAGCCAAGTGCTGTCTGCAAGAAAGTGTTGGTAACACTCAGTAAAGTGCAACAACTGTTGAAGGTGGGTACACAAGAGGTGCAGTAGAATAGATGGTAGACTGTGGGATGTTGCTGACTTGCCAGCCGTTTTTTCAGTCGCTCAGGAGAACATGTTTCGGAGCTAGCTTCCACACATATATGGACTTATTAAATGCATTTCTGAAGCCTCTCACACCAGTTGTACTGTGTGAGAGGCCTCGAAAAGGTGTTTAATAAGCCCATTCATGAGTGGGAGCTTGCTCCTAAATGTGTTCACCTAGCTCCCAAACAACTGAGAAAATGGCTGTGTTTTGTATGTGCAGGTGTGCCCACAGCAGATCTAGAGAAACTGAACATTGTGGATATGTCCCTGGACTGTCGATGAGTTCTGTTACTTGGGTGACATGATCAATGCCAGTGGGGGTGCTCAAGCCTGTAAGAGTCAGAAGTTACTGGAGAAAGTTTGGGGATTTGCTGCATTCCCTCCCATTGAAATGAAGATTGTATGGTAATAGTGGACACTTGTAAGAGTACCTTATCCATTGAGTTTATATCAGCAATCTGTTTGTTTCTTATTAAATGTTTGTCCATTATTTATTTTAATGTAAATGAATTCTGCTCTGATTGGCTAAGCTTTATACAAGGAGGAAAAATCATTATTAATTCTCAAATAATCTTTTATCTTTTCAGTTTCGGGAATTTTCAGGAACAGACCACAGCAAAGTTAGTGACATGATCTACAACATGTACAAGTAAGTTTGTTTTTGTTTTTTCATTGTATGCTTTCCTTTGTGAGCAAGTAATAACTGTATCCACAAAACATGAATATTGGAAAACCATGAAAATTTATTTTACCCAAGACTGTTTTGTTGGTTTAGATTTTTTTGTATTTTAGGAAGATCACTGGCTAGTCTATATTAATACTGTATCATTCACTTCAGACTTCTCTAGTGTTCTGCACGTTTGAAACACATACTGTACAGTTGTTTATGTTCTGCTCTTTACCTTAAAAACCTGTAATAATAAGACAGTGGTCAGCATTAGTGAGGCCGCACATGGATTATGCGGTTCAATTCTGGTGTCCTTATTATAGAATGGACATAGATTCTTTGGAGAGAGTACAAAGAAGAATGACAAAAATGATCCATAATATTAGAAACCTTCCATATGAAGAAAGACTGAAAAGCTTAGGCTTGCATTCATTAGAGAGGCGTAGAGTTAGGGGAGATATGATAGAGGTGTTCAAGTGGGTAAGTGGGATTAACAAGGGTAAAATGGAAGATGTTCTGAAGCTCAGTAATAACGAAATAACTAGAACAAATGGCTTTAAATTAGATAAATTCCGATTCAGAAAGGATATAGGCAAGCACTGGTTTGGTAATAGAGTTGTGGATATGTGGAATAGGCTACCGAGTGCTATAGTAGGATCGGGGACGCTAGGGAGCTTCAAGACGAAGTTGGATAGGCACATGGAAGTGCTGGGATGGGTGTGAAAGGGATCTGCCCTGTATGGGCCAGTCGGCCTCCTGTAGTATCCCACTTTCTTATGTTCTTATGATAAGAAGTGTCTCATAAAATGTACACCAGAGGAAAATAAATGTTCCTCTTTTTTTTCTTCTTTACGTGAGGCAATCATAACAAATCAACAAAGATTAGGACACAAAGACCAATCACAGAGCTGTCCAGACATTATACCTGTCGATTTCTTCCTCTGGGGTCAATCTATAATCTGGTTTCCACGAAGATTGATCAAGACCTATTTAGGTAATCCCAGAGGAAGAAATGGAGAAGTGTGAGGTCCAGAGACTTTAGTGGCCGTGACGTCACATTGCTCCTCGTCACCTGATCTTTGTTGATTTCTTATGATTCTCTCTCCTGAAGAAAAAGAGGAAACCATTAATTTTCCTGTGGTATAAAATGTGTTTAGTTACTTAATTTTTCTCTTTTCACTCATGTCTTGTAGCACACTTTTCTCCTGTGTTTTGAGGCTGTCTCTCTTTTGGTGGTTGTAGAATTAAAATTAAGAAAGTTGTGTAAGTAACTGGAAAATATTTGGTTCAAGATTTATCAGAGAAAGGGAATGTTTATGAGTAACTGGGATTCTTCCTTAACCCGGTAAGGAAGAGGTTTTTGAATAATCTTGTGATGTAAACACTTCTCCCTTTATTTATTACCCTTTCCTCTGTAGGAGATAGGTTCTATTTTTGTACTCCCGGCCAGAATATAATTTACATTGCTGGAATTCTTACAATTTGATGATCATTTTGAATATAAACATCATATATTTTGCATTAGACATACAAATTTTAGATATAATGTTTACTCTGAGTAAATATGTTATCTTTTGTGCAAAATATGTGACATTTATATTCAAAATATTCCTGGTTTTACAAGGAATCCAGCAATGTCAATTATATTATCCTAACTTTAATCTGAGGTATTATTTAATCCTAAATGTTAAAATCTAGTTTTTTCACCCAACCTTTCTCTTGAAGGGAGGATTGGTGGGGGGTGGGGACTGACCTCGCGGTTGGAAGAGGGGGGGAGGCAAGGTGGGGTACTTTGATTGACAGATAGTGTCGTGAAGAATATTTTTTTTTGATTAACTGAAGATATGTTTTAGCTCATAAAATTCATACAAATTACCCGGCCAGAATATAATTTACATTGCTGGAATTCTTACAATTTGATGATCATTTTGAATATAAACATCATAGATTTTGCATTAGACATACAAATTTTAGATATAATGTTTTCTCTGAGTAAATATGTTATCTTTTGTGCAAAATATATGACATTTGTATTCAAAATATTCCTGGTCTTACAAGGAATCCAGCAATGTCAATTATATTATCCTAACTTTAGTTTGAGGTATTATTTATTACTATACCGGTTTTCCCCCCAAAATTTCTCAGAGAGGGAAGAGCCGCAGTGTAGTGTGAGAGAGGGGGAGGGAGTTGAGTCCATTATTTGAATGGACATTAACTTGGCGACTGTATTTCTCTATTTCTCTTAAGTATTAATTGTGTGCATGTACCATCATAAAATTAAGATGTTATTTTTACTAGAACATAGGTATTGTGTTGGAAAAAGTGGAGTTTGGGGGTCAGCTGGTCTCTATTTCATTTAATCCCATATGTTATGTTATTCACTTTACGCGTTTCTCACTTTCCGCGGTACCCTCCGGGTTACATTAACTGCGTAAAGTGAGGGTTGACTGTATATATATATATATATTTTTTTCTTTTTCAGATCTAAATATGCAGAACCGAGCCTAAGTGAAGGTTTTGATGATATTGTAAAAGTTAACTTTGTTCCAAAGTTCAGGACATCAGATGAAGAAAAGTTGTATAGGATGTTTTTATTGGAAAAATAACTACATGTATACTGCATGAACAGACAGATGGCTCACTTGCTTTGACATTTTATAAGTTGAGCAAATCTTTCACTTTAAAGAAAATGGAGTCAGCCTTTTTATGCACTTAAGAAAATTTATGACTTCTTTTATGGAAGACATTTTGTTAAAAAAGCAATAAGCCATCTTGTATGCAACCTTTGCAGTATGTTGTGCCTCTTGACAATAATGCACACACGTGTTTTTAATCCTACAAAGACCAAGTCACCTTAAATAAATTACAAATATGAAAATATTCGTTTACTTTATGCCTCTATTGAGCAATGCACACTCCCCCCTAAATTATCACTCAGTGATACATAAAATAGTTTGCAACAAATAATAAGCAAACAAAAGTCAACCCAGAGCTACTAATGTATTAAAAATTACGAACTTAATGATTGGATTGATGAGATCAAGTGATGCTGGGGTTGTACAGCTGTAATGTATATATGAACTCAACCTAACTTGAGGGCTAACACCCCTGCCCACCTACCCTAAAAGGGAAAAAATATGTTACCATAACAAGCTTAAATAACAAATACAAAAAGTTTGAGCAAAACATAATAAATAAACTAAAGACATTATTATTATTTCTCGATGTTTCATGTAATGTTTCATACACAATATGGGTTGTCACTGTAGATACATTTTACAAGTACCTTATTAATAAGAATTTTACCCACATAAGTGGGCCCCAGACTAGCCAACTGCTTCTCTCCTGAAAGGGCGCCATCACACTCGGCAGTAGAACAAGCAGTACCGTCACTACTGCAACAGTATCAATCTAAAGTACATTTACTTTTTTAAAACATAATAGAACAATGTTATAAATGAAAACTCCAACAGGTTTGTATTACTGTGTACAGCAACTAGTAACATTTACTTGACACTGTTGAATTATTTCTGAAACCTAAACCTAATGTTGTAGTCTCACCAAATCTAAGTAAATCTTATATTTCATAAACCTTCAAAAATATATATCAAGTAAGTATCCCTTTTATGGAAAGTAATGTTAAAAAATAGTTTTGTCTCATTTACTTCAATAAGGACACCTGTTAATGTGTAGAGATAAACTTTTGTATTTCATGAACTATAGCTACAGCATATCCCCAATTTACAAGTCTTATACAGAGTTAATTGTGAACATTTTTTTCTATACACGATAAAAACTCACTTATACACAGTTCGGCATGGAGCCCAAATGGGCCTGGAATGTTCAATTCCTGCCAAATGTCCCTCCTTTCCTCCCCAGAACTTTGGGCCTTAATGAGGCTAATGTGTGGACAGCAAAGAGCAATGATAACAGACCAATGATCAATGAAATACACAGCTGCTGCAATGTGAAGCATTAGCATAAATAAAATTGGATGAGTGTTTGGCCAACTGTGCACTGTAACATGCACATGTACAAACCTGTTACCCACTAATTTCTTGTTTACATTATTCACTGCCAAGTTTTGTGCAACATTAACAAAGTCTACCCAAGAAAAATCATGTGTTATCTAGAAATATTTTAATTTTCCCTGGTTTCTATCATGGTGGTGAGGGAGGCATGAGGGAAAGGTTTGCAAAGTTGAAGCAGGTAGTCCGAGGGAGCAGTCAGGATATATGGAGAGTGGCCATTATCTATAAACAATCCAGTCTGTGGTGTAAAAAATCAGTCACAAGTGTGGTAAATCTCAGCATATGATTGTTGCTCTGATTTCTTTGTCACAGTTTAAATTGTCCATAGATATTGACTGCTCCCTGTACATCTTGGTTGCTCTTACCTCAATAGTGATTTTATCACCATGGAAGATGTACAAGCTTTGACTTTATGAATCCATCTTCAGAAGGTTACATCTAAACTGGCCAGCTGATGATAAGATCCACTTTTCCTGTAATCAGTCCCGGGGAGCTAATGACAGCCCGGAACCTAACCCGCTATTTCCCTTAAGCACGAGGTATGTTTTAGGCGGAACCTGACCACCATGTAAATCGCTGGTTTACTGTACATAAACATACATGGAAATGGCCAGAATAGACAACACTTTAGTAAATTAAAAACATCTGATTTGAACATTAGAGGACCCCCAGCTTCAGTGATCCTCTCCATCCCCAATATTGAATGTAAAAATGAATTTCATGACAGTACAGTACTCTGTTAGATTAATTTCCAGCATACTGATATTCCATATTGTACATAAATTTGTATGTAACATACATAGGTGTAAAGCAGCTTTTGGAAGACACACCAGTAAAGTCTGAGTGTGTGACTGGAAGCAACAAGACATTTTTCCATCAATCACCACATAAAAACAACCCCGCAGGATGGCTACTAATGATCATACATTTTGTGCAATTAAATATTATACAAAACAATTTCATCACTCTTAACATAAGTATTCAATGATAAATTATGTAAAATGCAGTACATTTCTCAAAATCCTTAAATGCAAACTGTTATTAAAAAACACAATCCCATTTACCAAATCACTTTCACCTGTGTAACTAGCAAAGAAATGTATCAAATCTTTCATATATTAATGATATATGTGTCGCAGCTAAAAGGCACAAGAAAGGTTCTTTATATGCCACTTGACTTTTAATGAAGGAAGCTACAGTGCTTCCCCCAAACATTTCTGCTATATAAAAAGAAGTTGACGTAGTCATCAGTAATTAGTGAACAACAATTCTTTCAGAGAAATAGTGAACGGTTCTTGTTTTAAATAGACAAGAGTTTAATCTACATTACCATACTGTACTACTTCATGTAATTTGCAGTCTGATAATACTGTACTGTACTTCACAGAAGAGTACAGTACAGTACATAGGTACATATATTTTCAGACTATTATATGGCAACTGTGCCTGTTATAAATTATTTTGGTAATATGCCCTCAGTTCATTATGTAACAGTGGAGAGCTTGGGAAAAGACAAATTAAAATAACACATGGCCTGTAATCACTGAAATACTGTAAAAATAAAAATGGGTAAAATTCAGAAAAATATTTCTTGAATATGTTGTTAGGTCAGCTACAAACAACACAAATTAGGAAAAATTGGCTTATCCAACAGGCAAGTGAAGATGAAACCTGGACATACCATAAACTGTTTCAGACAACTGGCCAGGTAATGTTTCAATCCCTGACTTATTGGACTATGATACACCTGCAACTGGGAGGGGGGAGGGACTTATCCCCAGAAGACATGAAACCTAGATGTACCAAAATTGAACTTGACCTGTACTGTATTTTCATGTGGACGAAACTATCCTAAAATTTGGAAAAAAAAACTAGTCTAAGGACACTGGAGTTTGAGCAAAGAAACCAAAATTTTATGGACACATGACTGATAATGATGATGCCAAACATAAAGCACCTGCACTGTATGGAGAAGACACAATCAAAAGGCCATAAAATGTTTATGGGAACAGTTGATCATTATTTAAAATAAATGCCTATCATACTAACTGGTAATTCAATTTGCTGTACACACACAGGTTTAAAATAGCTGGGAAAGAAGAGAGAAGTTGAAACTATTTATACCCTACGTGTACACTGTAACATAGAATTTAAGTTAATAGGTGTGCAGTATATGATACACAAATTAAAAACCCTAAAGGTTGACGTTGATGATCGTATGCTATGTGTCTACTAATTCTATACAGTACTCTTTGTAAAACCTTCTAGTTTTCATAAAATTCTGAACAAAATGACCAAAAAGATGTATAGTTTTCATTTCACTATATCTGCTAACCAATGATTATCTGAGGCATACACTGCATTACAGTTTATATCAACAAGTTATAAAAACTCTTTAGTGCATTTTTGGATTCAGCAACTAAAGGTCTTATAGATCATGGAAAAGTGCTATTACAGTATATGCTGAGAAGAAGGCACTGACTGGCACCAAGAAGCTAGGACCCACGAAAAAATTATTTACAGACTTCACACAACTTTATGAGAAAGTGTTATGGCTGTTGTGAACAGGTTTTGGCAATCATACAGTACAGTACTGTATATAGTATGTGCCAGGGTGGATACAACAATGCCTTCAGCAATGTCCTGCAAACCAAAACAGACAAATTTTGCAAATTTTTGGATGCAAATTAAGCTTTTGTTGAAACAAAATGAGATTTCTACTTTAAAAGACCTTTGCTGTAAATGAACATGAGATGTACTTTTTGTGGGTGATAGTTGTGACTGGAAAGGAAACATGACCTTAGGAGCCCTCAGGTGCCTCTTGGAAGGATAATGTATGATGAACAAAACCCCTGAATTTGGTACACTAAATAACATAGAGCCCTGGCGAGAGAGCTTTGAAAAATAAATATATTATTCCCCTCAAATTCATTTCAAAATGCCTGCTGTGATGCATCATGAGGAGATTATCAAACAAACAAATACAAGTACAGTATTTAAAAGCATAAAATTAATAAATTAACTCTTACCTGAAAAGATGAATATTGACATCCACGTTGAGCAAGTCTTCAACTTTCACTCTTTGTTGGTAAATTGATCACTAAATTTTCTTGTTAGCACTATTATTCGTCATTATCAGTCATATACTCATACATTCTAACTTTATCATAAATAACTGTGCTTTTCATTGCACTATCACTGAGAGCCACCAAAAATGATGTATTCCCCCTGACCAAAACAAGATAGACCTCTGAAACCCCTTAAGTTATCAACATGCAAGATTGTCCTTACACAATTTCACATCAAAACTAAAATCAATCCAATGACACCATGGAATGTTATCAAGACAGAAACTACATTTGCCAATAAAGGAAGGAAGGACAATACTACTTTATCCCTTAGAACTTTAGGTTTAGGGGTTAAAAATCTGTAATCACGGTAAAGATGTTGTATGATCACAATGAAATGAGAGCAATGGGGGAAGATAAAATATCTCACTGGACAAGGAGGGAGGGATACAATTATATGGTCACAGTGAATAATATGTATATGGTGCAAGTTTTTAAGCTAGGGAGTAACTGTAAGAGCTGAATGTTTGAGATACATCAATATACTGTTGTGCAGACATTTGTGTTGTCACGGTTGCCTCAGAATAGTAAAGGGGTTAATGACTTAATCAGTGCTCCTTCCATAATACAGTACTGTTTTGTCAAGGTATCAGATGACAGTAAAATTACAAAACTTCCAACTTAAAAAAATCAGGTCTGCTGTGGCAGACTCATGTACTAAATTCTAGTACTAACCTTTTGAATGAGTTTGATATACTGTAATATATATCATTCTTCTCAGCAAACCTTTTTGACACAAGGAATGTTGAACACGGGTACAGTACTGTATTCTTCGATTAACAAGTGTTTGTATGACACAATTCCATTTTCGTAAAACAAAATCCATTTCTGGTTTAACACAATCAATAAATGGACATATCCTAGACAGTCTCTTCATGTCCCTATTACAATACAGTACTTAGTTCTGCCCTGGCTGTCATTTACCTCAAACACATATTTTATTGACTTGCTAAACTTTGCTGTTCTTTCATGATTTACAGAGACAACCCTTACAATCACGAGTGTTAAGTTAGAATTAAAAGACAAAATTGCTTGTAAGTACTGTAGCATGTGTATGTAATAAATACAAAGATTTACAAATAAATGCAAGGAAACAAAAAAATATTTAAAATATCAATAATTAGTATTTTCTATGAGCTATATGGTCATAGGTAAATGTGTGTGTTGCTGTAATTCAAAATCTAGACTCACCAACACATCACACTTGCAGCCACTTCATAGTGCGACACCAATCACTCACACAACTACTCCTGTACTATCTAATCTTATACAACCATAAAAAATGTTGCTGTAAGAAAAAATAAATGAAATTCTACACTGTATATAAATTAAAACAAACACCACACACAAACTCACACTTGAACCTTGGTGCACACTTTAAATCTGAAACCACGTGTATTATTGAGCATCATGGACTTTTGAATTTGGGATTATTGAGCTTTGACTGTATGGTATCTGCATTAGTAATTTCAATTTAATTACTTTATAAATACATACACTACTAAGCACAGTATACATTACTACAGTATTTGTTGCACTTAGTTTCTCACTCAAACATACAGCCCTCACCTTTTACATTTCTCCCAATGGAATTAACATTTCACTTAATGGATGTTTTTGCTTACCAGGATATTTTTAGGAACTTATCCATCATGTTAACCGAGGAATACCTGTACCTTGTAAATAAGTCCACAGGAGTTGAAAGAGTTGGCAACCAAAGTGCTTGAATCTTAGATGAACTTCTCAACTGGAAATGGTTGCTCAACTACACACGCATCAAAAGGAAAAACATCAAAGGAAGCATGTAGTGTATTATGGTTGACTAAGAGACAACCCTAGCTTGGATGGCAAGAGTTTATTTCATATCCTGCCAAGTGTAAAGCTGGTGGAATATATTAGCTACCGTAATATACAGTAGATAGTAATTTACACTTAAAATCCTTAGGAAAAGCAGAAATAGCACAGAAAAGAACTTTCAGTTAATGTGAAAAGCTTCTTTTCCAAACAATTATTTGCTTTAACCTGTTCCCTTTGTATTTTTCTGTTGTACAGTACACAGCTTGACCCACTCCCTGAAGAAGGAAAGAAGGTGGTTTTCTATGATTTGGTGGATAGTCACAGGAAGAACAAGTAAAAAATTAAAAAATAAGATGTCTTTAGTAATACTTCTGAAGTTATTTATAGTTTTAAAATACCTTTTTTAACTATATCAAAGTAAACTTCATGATGACATTTGTGGTAATGAATAAAAATAGTTTTTGAACAGACTTCATTATAGCCTGAGGTGTGGAAGCATCCTTTTCATATTTCTAATCAATCAATGACTAGAGACTTAACCCATTTAAATTTTTTCTCATTGCTCCTTTTTGTGTAAAATAGGATCATTATAGAAACTATAATTCTACAATCTGTAAAGTAAGACTTAAACTTACAAGAGCCTGGTAGTCTTTCAACACATGGCCTGTCTGTTGGCAGTTTTCTCCCTGTAATATTCTGGATGTTTGACTTTGATGTGTGCTTGTAAGTTACGTTTGCGTTTGATGGTCATGCTGCACACAGGACATGGCATTCGTAAGTCAGCACCATTGTGTTCCAGAAGATGCTCGGCAAGAACTTCTCTCCTCGTAAAGGAACGTGTGCATAAATGGCAAACATAGGGACGAAAATGTGCAAGGTGGTGCCGCTTTAGTATGGCAGCTTTGGCAAAGCACTTCTGGCAAATGGGGCACACAAATGGTCGACCATCAGCTGAAGAGGTCTCCTGCCAAAGAGAGAAAGGATTTACGAAAAGGTTAGTACCCAAAGTTTCTTAAATTTAAATTAACTTAAGAAACAGCAGTAAATACATAAAAGAAATATTTAGATGTTTAATGGCAATTTATTACATTAGTGTACTAACACTTAACCTTTCCTATACAGTATTACTGGACCAAATGCAATGTATCTTTCAAATATTGATAAATAAGCTCAGTATATTTGCACTAACTTATACAGTGATCCCTCGGTTAACAAGATTTCGGTTAACGATTTACCTTCCATAAGTTTCTTAACTTCGGTTAACGAGCAATCCTTCGATTAACGAGTTTTTTACGAGCCGACTTCAACATGTTTTCGCTTGCATTTGGCGGTCCACCAGCTGTAGTATTAGTCCGCCAATACAGTAATCGGTTTTAGGGCTTAAATTCCTTATTATTTTAGTAAATAATCAAGAAGTTTATACTATTCAATAATTTTAAAAGTTTAATATTAACTTTTTTAGTCATTTTAACAATTATTGAACATAACTGAAGGTAAAGAAACTAGTTTCTGGCATGCCATCCAGTCTGTTAACACACCAGACAGGCGTTAGTCTCTCTCTGTTTTCAGTGGAGGTAACATCTTGCTTGAGACTCTCTTCAACTAAACGCTTTTTTCTGTATTTCCAAGCAAATTATTGGTCATTTTGAAATTTATTTAACATATTGACAATATATAATGCAGTGCAGTGTTGATTTAAAGAAAATAATCTTGAATTACACCAAGAGAACTAAAATTTTATGGGTGAAATGGTGCCATGGGGTGACTTCTCTTCCACCCCAATGCCTTCTCTTCTCCCTTCTCCTCCACCCCCATTCTAATTCCCATCATCATCATCATCATCATCATCCAGGAGCCTTCTACATACACACCTCAAAGTAAGTGTACTTTTCTACCTTTTTTGTTGAATTTAGGCAATTTTCGGTGAGCTGGAACCAATTACCTAAAAACCCATTGAAACAATGATTTCGGTTAACGAGCAACCTGCTGGAACGGATTGTGTTTGTTAACCGAGGGACCACTGTACCTCTCTATTTGCATGTTCCTTTACCCATGTATCCCAGCTTTTGATCAAACTTATATTTAAATATTTGGCTGATTGAAGGAGCCAAATGACCTCTAAGACATCTCTAATTAGATTGCCACCTGCCATAGCCCCCATGAACAGGCAGCTATTGTGTTCAAATGTAAGGGGCACTGACCTAAATGGATCAGTGACTTGTTCCATAAACAACCATATACCAGGTGAATTGTTGGTTTGCGGGGGTGATACCTCGACCAAGATCCAATTGTGCTTCAAGAAGTGAGTTAATAAATGGTCACTGGGACAAATCTCTCGCTGTTTCAAATTACGTGAACCACCTTTTCCAGCATAAACCCATCCCAATACCTGAACTTACCTGCGTCTCAGGACTGGGAGACCAAAGTTTTACCAAATGAATCATAAAGCCCTGTCTGATATATAACAGAACAATAAAACAGTCACCATGAAAGACCCTCTCCCAAGCATCAAATGATCCACATTCAAAGAATATTCACTGGCTGTAGGACCCAATATTATCAGCCATAATATATACTGTACTGTATATGACTTATGGAAATTATGAAAGGAAAGACATACAGAAGACAAATAAAACTAGTGTACCAGGGTTTCCTCTGTTGTGGGCTGCCTGGAGAGGTTGGCACTTCGTGCAAAGGCATCCAGATACATGCGAGTTTCCTCTTCTATGTTGTTTGCACTCAAAGTAGAACTTACTGAGTCCCCATGAAGGTTCTCAGACAATGTGGTACTGCTGAAGTCCAGAGCCTCTTCTTTTATCTCTGCTTTCATCTGTGGGAAATAATCACAAAATTCAGTCCTCTTATACCCTAAGTAATGAGCACTTAATATTCTTCTGGAAAAGAGAAAATTGAATTGGTTACTGGACTGTCACACAACCAACCCTCATTTGTGAGCACCTCACAGTATTAAATTGTTTGTTTGACGTTAATTACTTTCTCATATATTTATCTGGTGATTTTTTTCTGTAAAACTTAACCGCCACATTTACTATACATTATTTCTCAGGGGAATCTATTTTCCTTTTGTGTCCTCTCGTTTAAAGTCATTTTTTCAGGAATGCATATACTGTACAACGACAAGTGGGGACCTTCGATAGCACATTGGGAGACTGATATGGATAATTTTAAAGAAGTTAATACACTATACCTGTATATGGAAGGAATATTTGGATACATTGGGGCCAAAGATGAATACAACTAAAACCAATGTTAAGCCAGTGAAAAAAACATCAGATTAAGTAGCACTAACACTAGAAATTGGTTTGTTGTACAATAAGAATATGAAGTTTACATATCTTGTGGCTGTTATAATCATATCAAATGAAAATATAAATGAAACAGAATATTAAAGTATTATACAAGTATAATTGTTGGTGTTGTATCTCATCAAAAGAGACACTCAAGAACCAAAACACCCAGAAGCACACACATAACTCTCCTGATGGTTACCACTACTGTACTGTACTAATGTATGGAGCTATAAATGGAAACACCAAGCCAGAATAAGAGATGTCAGTATTTGGGGAATTCTATATAAAGCTCCTGTATTAAACATCTATTAAGTAAGGCTGATGGATCTCAGTTAAGATGGTTATGACATCTGGTAAGACGGGATAAAGACATTTTTTGCTCTAAATGGAACCAAGGAAGAAGACCACCTAAAAGACTCAGACAAAGATGGAATAATGGTACAGAGGAAACACTCATAAGACTGAGAGCACCAGCACTATTGCTTGGTAGGAAAATCTTGAGAAATAATTCCCCCAGAAAATAACCTGAAATTTTTTTTATATACTCCACACTTGTTGATCAATGTGCCATGTGATATAGCTATTTCACTCTATACACTCTATGACAGTTCATCATTTTAGCCAATGAGTTTTAAGACTATGAAGTAACCACAGTAGAGGAGTATGGCATTATGCACAAGTGACATACCGATTTGCAGTACTGTATATGCTTGTGAATATATAGTCTCCTGAGGCTGATCTTAACCTCCCTCTACATACACACACATATTCTTCTTAAATTACATTAACCATATGGTACTCGCTTTCACTAACAACTAAAATTTGAACATCCGAGGAAATGTCGTATTCCCATACATAGATGGAAAAGGCATACACAAAATACACAAGAATAATGAAATGACGTGATTATACAACAGATGGAACAAGAAGGTCACTGCAGTTAATCACCCAAACTGAAAATGTTACATACCAATTTTTCTGGTGTTTCTGCAAGTCCTGAATTTGATTCATCAAACATGTGCCCAAGAGAACCAGCACCAAATTCTTCTTTGCTTGCCCCAAGTCCAGCCAAGGAATAATTCAGTGCCCTTGGTGATGCTGTTTTTGCCTCAGGCCTTGGATCATGCAGTGGCTGTTGACTTGAAGGACTTCTAGTTGGACGTCGTTCTGACATCCTCTGTTTGGCAGTCTCTGTGCTATGAGATGTAAGTGGGTCCTTGCAGAGCTGTTCAGGTAGGGTCTGTGGTGGTGGAGAGGATGAAGTATATGTAGGGATGGGCGAAGTGGACGATAAAGGTGTGGAAGTGCCTGGCTGCCTGTGATGTAAGAAGTCACCAAGCACATTATGAGACAATGAAGAATTATTTTGGCAGGAATCTTTTGTAGTCAATGAAGATGAAGTTTCTTTTGGTGCTGGCTTTTCAAAGTATGTGGGTGTATGAGATTTACCTACATACTCTGATGTTTTAGGTGCCATCTTATCATCAGTCTTTCTACGTTTTGGAGACGACATGAGAGCATAATGATGACTGTACAGGTTTTCTAAGAAATTATCATCTTTAGATGACGTACTTCTTGAGCTGCTAGATCTTGAAACTTCTTCATTAGAACCATTTAGCACAACAGATGACTCAAATCGCCTCTTCTTTGGCCCTGAACTTCGTTCTCTTCGGGAAGGATTGATTTTTGCAGAGTCAGAGTCTTCACTGGCAGTGAAAACACCAAGGCCCTTAATCTGTAGTGCTTCTGCAGTTGCAAGTAAAGTTGGAACTTCTTTCTGGGGAATGTCTGTCTGTCCTGTGTACATAAAATCTATCAGGGCCTGCATCTCTCGTGCAGCCACTCCCCGCATATACACAATTGGATGTTGACATGGTATGTCACCCAAAATGGTCCGAAAATAATCACTGCAAGTAACTAACACCAACTTGTGTGCAGCAAACTTCTGTCCATCACATGCAAGAGTCACGTCAGTCAGGGTATTCTGAAATATAAAAAGAAACAATTAGTTTAGAAAAGGTGAGAGATAAACTTGGTACAGTTGATGTATCACACCAGGCAGCTCACAACAATAGCCAGCCATTGCAGTTAAATTATGCAACGGTTGACAACTGGGAACATTATGCTAATGTGTAATGTATTGCTGCAATCAAGGAATGTACTGCGGTCTACTCACCCAATCAAAACTGGATGAATGCATTTTTTATAGGATCTTGACTCCACAGATGGTTCTCTTCAACTCACTCTTACTGGGAAACCACAATTAATTCTCAGTTTCCTATTGATATAAGATATCAAATTTTATAAGCAAGTCGAGAGTAACCCTGTGTTAGTATTAGTCAACAACTCTAGGGGCTTGAAAGCCTATAAATTCTGGGTTGTCAAACTCATAGACATGTTGTCTAATCAGTTACATTACATGACTTATAAAATCATCTGAACACTGCATGAAAAGCCTGCAATACAAGTTTATTCAAGAGCAATTATTCAACAATTTGTAGAGCCATTACTCTCAACATCAAACTGTAAATGTACAGTACAGTAGTTTCTTTAAATTACACAAAATATAAGAAAGATAATGCTAGAGGAAACTTATGTTGTTCAATGGTAATCAACTGCTGTACTATACTACAGTAAAAGTCCAAAAATCCGGATGCCAGGAATCCGGACCACCCGAGAATCCGGACTTTTCGAAAACCCAAACTTTTTAAATTTAGCGGGGGCTTTTGTGGGTTACGTGAATGAATGGAGTTGCTTTAAAAAATTAATTTACATAATTCTAATAATAAAATTAATTGTAAATTATAGGTAGCTAATTTTGTTAGTTTTGTAATTAGCTTGAACTGAAATGTAAAATTTGAGGCACTATAAATCTTTTGTGTGTATGTGTGCATGCGTGAATGCCACAGCTGCACAGTGACAACAAACGACCACACGATCGCCACTTTAAAACAAGCAATCAAACTGTGACAACGTATGTAATTTCGAGTCCTACTCTTTCCATGTACAGAGTACAAGCCCATAATAATGGCCCCTAAAGTAGATAAACTTCGTTGTGTGAAGAAAAAGAAGAACACATTGAAATTGAGTGACAAACTTGAAATAATTAAGAAACTAGAATGTAATGTGAGCAATGCTGTTCTAATGGAAACATACAACATTGGAAAGTCTACAATTTATGATATAAAAAGGGCAAAGAATAAAATTCTAGAATTCACAGCTTCTTCTGAGCCTTACATTAAAATTGCTGAAAGAAAAAGTTTACATTGGCCCAAATTAGAAAATCTTGATAAAGTGTTGCACAAATGGTTTTTGTTAAAACGATCAGAAGGTATGGCAATTTCTGGGCCGATGCTTATTGCCAAAGCAAAATCTTTTAAGGAGCAAATGAACATTGAATCAGAGTGCGCATTTAGTGATGGATGGCTTAGGAATTTCAAGACTCGTCATGGTATTAGACAGTTTGTTTACATTTTTGTCTAGTGTTGACTTTATTTTTCTTTAAAACTGCTCGTTTTGATAAATGAAGCATGCTTTATTTGATAATGAATAAACTATCAAAATGTACCAGTTCATCTCTTCTTTATTCCTCCTTAAATTTTAATTTTAAAAGTACTGCCTCAGAATCCGGAAAATCCGAAAATCCGGACCGACCCAATCCCCAAGCAGTCCGGATTTTTGGACTTCTACTGTACTTGTATTTTAATACAATGATGCCCCACAAGGGTATCAATGACTAGACAAACATGATGTTGGCTCAAAGAAATTCACAAGAAGTGAAACAGTAAAGGACCACCTGGTACAATGTGGTCGGTGAACTGGGGAGACGGAAACAGACTACAGCATGGGAGGGAAGGGAGAGTGAAACAATACATGCTGATGATGAGAATGGACAAGGAAAAAGTGTGTGGCCAGGATAAATAAGAGATGAATGGACAAACATAATGGCCAAATTCTTTATACAGCACAGTAAGGTACAGTATATAAACACAAATAAAGTTTACTGGTGCTCTTACCTCTTCTCTAAGGATACTCAGAGTCTGCCTATAAGTAGCTCCATGATTATTCCAGGTCAAGGAAAGACATTCATCATTCATGGTGGCACCTCTTCTTCCTACCAGGTGGAGAAATAGTCTATGAATAGATGTGATTTAGCTTCTTTACGTACGCTCATAATATTAGTCCCCTGACGATCAACTCGGACATATTCACACTCGATCATGAGATATATATATATATATATATATATATATATATATATATATATATATATATATATATATGTATATATATATATATATATATATATATATATATATATATATATATATATATATATATATATATATATATATATATATATATATATATATATATATATATATATATATATATATATATATATATATATATACATATATATATATATATATATATATATATATATATATATATATATATATATATATATATATATATATATACTGTATATATATATATATATATATATATATATATATATATGTATATATATATATATATATATATATATATATATATATATATATATATATATATATATATATATATATATATATAAAGAAGAAGAGTCCATTAAAGTGCATGAGTATCTGCCCCTGATCCCCTAATCATATTCTGCAGACTGGAAACCTACATGAACACAAGCCAAGGACACATGATAAATGCAGGTGGTTTCACTGTGAGGAGTTTGTCAGGCCAGTAAATAATACCATTTTATGAAGGGACAATGAATGCTCAAAATAATTCTAAACAACTGAAATGTAGAGTGTGAGTACAGTATTAATATAAGCATCAATTACTGTATGCAGTTGGCAAAACCAAACAAAAATATCAATGAACAGTTCCAGTATGAGGGTGACTTTATGACCCAGGATGAACTTAGTAACCTACAGGTGACAGTGAATGATAACAATTGTTTCCACTATTTTTTTACGACTGAACTGCCCACCATCCATCATAGTGTTTCTTGAACTGCACGTAGCTATCAGTGATGCCCAGAGAGTATGAGCCACATTTAAGAGATGATTAATCCATAAAGGTACTGAACTGTGAAGTTTCTGGAGTCCTTCATCAAAATAATATCATATCTGATGAATTCCAAGAAACCTCAGATCCGGAAGCTCTTTTTGACATTAAAAGTCAAGTTGTAAGGAGTGCTTGGTACAGCTTAACAATCCCTGGTGAAGTCTGTAAAGCTTGTGATTCTGAAAGTCAGGTTTGACTAAATAAGGGTACATTACGTTTACTAGGTACGGTAATATATAAAATGTGGCCCCAACTCCTTAAATTTGACCAGATAATGAGAACATAGCTTGGTTAAGACAGCCATATCCTTATGTGTGCAAAATTTGATATAAAACTTCCTACTTATCATTTACTGAACACTTATATTATTTCACTTGTTTCTTCACGATTTAATTAAAATATTAAGGTTAATTTATAGTACTGTATACGGGCTTGTAAAACTATAGTACTGTATACGAGCTTGTAAAACTAAGATTCAATGTCTACAACTATGCATCTGGCAACTGCCACTTAGCTATATGACCTGAGGTTAGTCACACAAAAAATGAAGTTAACCAAAATTAGCATCCATCCAAAATTATGTCGAGCTTTGTTGAACTCAGCTTAAATAAAATCACTTAGACCAGATTTATATTTCAGCAACAAAGCCACCAGGTAATAACTAATGAGCCAATATTAAAGCCATCAGTTAGGTTAATCTACTAGTACTGTATTGTATGGGATGCAACACTCTAAGCTGTATTTTTAAAGATAAAAATTAATTACTCTATTGCTTTGCTACTAATATTATATCACTAACAGCAAATTCACAATATTTTATAATGTTTTAGTCTCAAATTTATATACAGCTCTCCCCGACTTACGGCCAATCGACTTACGACCTGCCTCAGTCGTACCAAAATTTTGTCAAATTACATATTTTTGAGTCCCAACCTCAGTACACAGACAAAAATTTCGTTTGTAATTCACTTTAAAATAGCTGGCAAGCTTAAAAGTGAGTGTTTTGTGGTGTTGAGAAGAAAAAAAGAGACACCCATTTTAGATTTTCTATGTATTATTTAAGCATTTTCGACTTATGACGACTTCGACTTACAACCTGGATTTGGGTCCCAAACCCCGTCGTAAGTCGGGGAGGAGCTGTACTGTATTACCTCAGAAGACTAACCATTTATATTGATAACAAACAATAAAAGGGTTCTGTTTGACAAAAACCTTTCAGAAATTGAATCATATTTTCTCATAAACTTCCAATATAAAAGTCGAGACATGTACGGTACCTACAAAAACCCTTCCCCAAAACATAATACAGTAAAATGCTACAAACATGTTTTCAATGAAAATTTTTGGTGGCCACAATGAATATAAGTCAATATTAAACACACTAGTTACTGAGAAACTGCACCACTGGTTGTGAGGTGTTTTGCTTTCACCAGATTTAATATTTGATGCAATCTTATCTGAAGAAGAAATGCTTAACTTATCCACTGAATATTTTATTCGTTCCATCAAATTCTGGAATACTAAACACATCAGTGTTCCCACCAATCCTTAGCATCTTGCCATTACTCCACATAATGATCCTGTGAACCGTGTATTCATTTTTAGCGTAGTTAGTCACTCTTAATACAGTACACTATGTTGTTTATTCCTCTTCATAAACTGATGAAGTCCGGTACAGAAAACCCTGAGATGACTGTATCAGCACCTCATCTTCTTCCATTGCTGCCAAAAAGTTATGAAAAGCAAAACAAAAATGTCAAAACTTTGGATCTATGAAAGTAGAAAAAAAAAGATGAGCAAAATGTTTACTGTAATAAAATGTTTACGATTTTTCCTCCTGAACACAAACCTTTAGTGGCAACATATGATCTTTTCGGTTAATCTGACAGTGACAATAACAAGACACTCAGCAGATATTGCTGTATTATATGTTCTATTATTCATAAGCTGGACTAACTTAGCCTAATCTAAATAATAGTTATTTTTATTATCTTAAAAAAATACTCGCTATGAAAGGATCCATTAAAAGAAGCAGAGAAGGAGCCACGGCAGTGTCAAAGGTTGGATGTTATGGTCATGGTTTGTGATCAGGAGAAAATTAAAAAAAAATTTGTGGACAACGTTGTCTTTGTCAGCTTCTTGGCCTTTACATGAAATACGAAAGCTTTTAATAGCTATGGTTAAATATCCTAAAGTTGGTATTTCAAGAGTATAGGAGACCTTAAGATACAACCAGAAATGATTGAAACATACCAATATACATTAGAAGCACAAAATTAACCATAAAGTTAAGGCGGGCTTGCATTACACAATAACTTACAACCATCTCATACAACTATCAGCTACTCATTAGTGTAAAATCTCAACAACTTTCCAATGATGTACCTCAGGTGGCTAAACAAACACACAAACAAAATTTTTGGAAGAGGTTAACTTGCAATCTTCCAGGCCTCACAAACAACATGTGATCACAGGTCTTACAGTAGTTGTGTAAAAGCAGAGGATGGAGTGTTGGAGAGGTGAGGTGGCTGGTGGCGTGGCGTCAACGGTAGCGTCACCATCTGCACGCAGGTGACTGACAGATGGACGCTCCGACCCGCTTCAGGATGACGCGGCCTTCTACCATGCTGCTTTACTATCAAATTTCACTTTTAAATATAAACACGAGTACAATTTCAAATCTCTACTGGTTAAATACCTCACGTAGAACTTGTAGTTAGTCAGCACTAGCACCACGCGCAGCTGGTAAACCATAAACGGCCGGAAGTGTCCAAGTCCTTTGTCGCGGGCGGCCTCACACACCTGCGCCAGATGTCAACAAACACGAGGCGTCTGATGGATAACACTGTCTGTCACCACTACCTCACAAACACTTTATTAACACCAACTACTATGTTCTCATGGATAGTGTAAAAATTATGTAATATAATAGTATAATATGTTTGAATTTTATGATAAGACTATAAAGTAATTATTTAGCAGATGTAGACATTACTTCAAAACAAAGCGGCTGAAGGAGGACCTCTGAGTGTGAGGTGAAGGAGGACCTCTGAGTGTGAGGTGAAGGAGGACCTCTGAGTGTGAGGTGAAGGAGGACCTCTGAGTGTGAGGTGAGGATGACATCACTTCATAAATGCACCAAAGGTATCAAGTTTCATGTTTGGTCTTGAATTAAAATGGTTTTATAATTTGTATAGTCAATATTTAATCAACAGTAAATGGCGAAGTGAATCTGTGGGTGTCAACTGTACCTGTATCATGCTGTGTATCTTAGAGAAGTAACGTAGATTTTATACTAGGTGTTTAGGAATACTTAACGGTTGAACTAACATTACACTACTATATGTGATAAACATGTTCATAGACAGCCTGAGGTAATGCTGATTATATTGGGGGAGAGTGACGTAGAGTATTACCCAATGCCATATTTCACTCTTTACATGTCAGATGTTTCCTGTTATCCACCAGAATACAGTACTTCCAAACACTTAACAGCTACTAGAAAATTTGTTATTATCCTTTCAGTCATCCAGCCAATTTCAGGATTTTAAGTTACCATCATCCCAGAGAAGTTTAGGTTAGGTTGAAATTATGTTTTTCCCGATGGTTTTGATGTGTCTTGAACGATTCTGACCTACTTTCAAATAGGTGGATGACAAACGATAATTTTACCAAAAAATATTTGATTCATTGAATATGAGATTTTAAACGAACCAACCGAACCTAGGTCAGGTTAGGTAGATTTGGCTGGTTCACTGGCAAAACTTAAAATTTTTCCAACTCTTGAGAAGATGGCTGAGTCTGTCAGCCATGTTTACTTTCTAAGACTGAGGGTTGGTTCACTTCATAGTTTTCTATTGAGATACTTTACAGCTACTTTCTAAAATGATTGAAGGACTTAACCTAACAGGAGAGGCTAAAAAAACTGAAGCTACCAATGCTGGCATAAAGAACCCGAGGTGGACATGATAGAAGTATGGGTATTTAAAATTACAAGTGGAATATATGATCAACAAATATGTAAAGATTTACTTAAAATGAAAGAACAATCAACGATGAGAAGACACAGCTAGAAAATATATGAGGAGAGATCAAGACTTAATCTAAGGAAATATACTTTTTGCAACAGAGTAACTAGAATTTGGAATAATCTGCTAGATTGGGTAGTGAATTCTGACTCAGTTTTGATTTTGAAAGGAAAATAGATAAAGCTTGGGCCCACCAGGCACAAAAATTTAATCATAAAGCACAGATTTAATATGATAGTCCTGACCACCACCAAACCAACCACACAATTACCTGTACAAACAAAAGTTTACAGCTGGAGTCACAGCCTCATTATCCTCTAATAGAAGTCTTCTGTCAGTATCTGAGGTACCAAACCTAACCTATTCTAAAATATTACTGCTCTTTTGTATTTTAGTATTTTAGAATGAAATGGAATTCTTTTTTATAAAAAAAAGGCATTTGGATTCCTGGCCTGTCCTAACACTGTATTTGTGTTGTTTAATTCTGGTTGCAAGATCTTTACCTGTCTGGCCTAAGTAAAACATATTACATTCCTTGCAGGGAACTTTATAAATGCACTGTTAAACAAATGTTAATCAAGAACTCCCCCAACAACACAATTGGTTGCATTTATAAAGTTCCTTGCAAGGAATGTAATATGTTTTACTTAGGCCAGACAGGTAAAGATCTCGCAACCAGAATTAAACAACACAAATACAGTGTTAGGACAGGCCAGGAATCCAATGCTCTGTTTGTTCATTTGAGGGATAACAAGCATCGCATTGACTGGGATAATGCCTCCTCAATATTACCATGTAATTCAATTGATAGTAGGAACATCATAGAATCTAGTCTTATTAAACATACCGAAGCATTCAACATGAATTTGAGTAACGGCATGTACAAGCTGGACAATTTTGTAATTAAGAAGATTTGTAACCAGGCGAGAAGGCCTGGTCACCTGACCATCTGACCTGACCACCAACCGTTGTGTGCTATTTAAAGATTAGTTGGGTCATTACCTAATACCTGACCATTGTGGACCTGGTCTCACCCTCCTCTGTATATATACACCTTGGTTTGTATTTCTCTCTCTAGTCTGTACTCACCCCTGAAGATGTGAATTACACGAAAGCGCTTGGGAACTTCGTGTTTTCTTCTATCCTTGTGGTTATCAGCATATACCTAGATATATATATATATATATATATATATATATATATATATATATATATATATATATATATATATATATATATATATATATATATATATATATATATATATATATATATATATATATATATATATATATATATATATATATATATATATATATATATATATATATATATATATATATATATATATATATATATATATATATATATATATATATATATATATATATATATATATATATATATATATACACAGTTAACCCTCACTTTACGCACCTTCACCACCAATGTTAATGTTGGTGATCTTGTTCCTCTTCTTAAACCTCTGCAACCACCCAGAGGAAGCATTGAAGGGTTTGGGCTCTGCAATTCCCATCTTACGTGACATTGCTGCGTACAGTTCATGTGCGTACTCCTGAACTGACCGCGTGTCAACTGCCATGTTCCGTCTTGCCTGACGAATCAAGTAGCTCACAAGTAAATTCTTCGTCTTGAGAAGCGCCTTGTTGTGGCAATACTTGATCATTGAAGCACCTGCAGACTTTTTGATGTTCATGTGCTCCTTTATCTTGGCTGCATCCTTCTTTATCGTCCGGATCGTAGATTCGTTCACACCATGCTGGCGCGCCAAATCAACCTGTCTTGTTCCTTTCTCCAACTCTTGGATGATCTTGTACTTCACCTCGTAGCTTAGGGCACGTCGTATCTTCTTTGGCTTAGGGCGGCTGGGTCCAGGTAATGCAAGGTTTTTCTGTGGTGGTGGAGGTGGTCCGGTGGCAGCCATTCTTATGGAACAATAGATACCGATATACATGGTGTGGCCGGGAGGGGTGTAACTGACGCAGGTAGGTCAAGGGGCTTCATCCCTCCCGCGGCAGGGCACGTCATATTACATTAAACCAGTCACAGCTAGCGGGGAAAGAGGCAAGGATGCTTGGCCCAATCACAGTCCAATACGTCATATGACGTCACCGATAACGCAACAAAGACATACACTGCGCAACCTACTCGCGCCGCTTACCCAACATGGCGGGATGGCGGGAGGTTTGAATCCAAAAATGGCGCGGCGCGAGATGACCGCCAGCCGCTCTCCGCGTATATGAGTAGATGCACCGCATAAAGCGGGAATTCCGGTTCTGGCGGGGTACCGCGTAAATGTAGAAGCGCGTAAAACGGAAACGTTTAAAGCGGGGTATTACTGTACATGTTTTATGGGCTATTGAGCGTAACATGAATCGTCTGATGTTATGTTAACTAGCATGTACAACCGTGGTCAGTACACCTCAAGTTGGCCCTTATGGCTGGACTACTCTCATCAAGTATTACTCTGATAAATCGTATACTGTAGTAGTAGCTGGTAGGTTGTTAAACTGTGGAAGTATTTGTGTGTATAAAACACTGTCCAGGAGAAAATTGCTTAAATAATATCCCAAGTTTAGTAAGAAAGTTATTATCTATTACTGTATCATCTATACAAAAATGTTCTTAAGTTACAGTAGTTACTGGTTGATTGTGTGTGTAGAACGCAGGGCTGGATTAACCATTAAGCAAAATAAGCACGTGCTTAGAGCATCAAGGGAAGGGGGGCACCACAGAAATTTTCCATAGCTGGATTTACCATGGACCATGGACCATATGGTAACTTTTGTTATAAGAGAAGGGTTCAGTGACTGGCAAAATACTATTGTAATTGACCATCATGAAAAAAGCACTACTCACCGAGACTCTATGCTAACATACTTAATTCGCAGACAGGGTTCGGGGTTGGGGCAACAGTTGGAAAAACAAATTCAGGAAGAGTGTGATTACTGGGAACATGTCTTGAGGCGTGTCATAGCTGTTATTCGTACGTTAGCTGAACGTGGCTTGGCTTTTCGAGGAACAGAAGAAAGGTTTGGATCATTGCAAAATGGGAATTTTTTAGGGCTGCTTGAGCTGATAAGCCAGTTTGATCCATTTTTAGCAGGTCACATTTCGAAATATGGAAATTCTGGCAAAGGAAATCCTTCTTACCTGTCCAAAACCACCTGTGAGGAACTCATTCAACTAGTGGCACAAAAGGTCCACGCGCTCATTGTTGACGAAGTAAAATCTTCTGGTTATTTTAGTTTGTCAGTTGATTCAACACCAGATCTATCACATATCGATCAGTTAAGTGTTGTACTTAGGTACCTAAAAGATGGACAGCCTATTGAATGCTTTTTAACCTTTCTGGAAATGAAAAGCCATACCGGTGAGGAAATGGCAAATCAGGTGTTGCAGTACTTACATGAAGTTTGTAAGCTAAACTTTTCAAAATGTAGGGGTCAATCTTACGACAACGCTGCAAACATGTCTGAGCGTTATAAGGGGATGCAGCAAAAAATTCTAGAAATAAACAAGTTTGCTATATATGTGCCCTGTGCGGCTCATTCACTAAATCTGGTAGGCCGACGTGCTGTTGACTGCTGTCAAGAGGCTGTTAATTTCTTCTCTACAGTGCAGTTGCTCTATACTTTTTTTCAGCCTCAACCAGCCGGTGGAAAATTCTTAAAGGTTGCATTGGAAATGAAAGTGTCTTAAAATCCCTCTCTGATACCAGATGGGAGGCACATGCTATGGCAACAGCAGCAATTTTGAAATCTTTCCTTAAAATTTTAGAAGCGTTAGAATGTATAGCTGAAGACCAGTCACAAAAGGGAGACACTAGAAGAGAAGCAAATAATATTGCAAATAAGATGCAAGAGCTAGAATTCGTTTTTATGTTGAATTTTTGGAATGAGATTTTGCAAAATTTTCATAGAGTAAGCCAAATTCTACAAAATGAGGATGTGAACTTAAAAACATGTGCAGATCTGTATGGATCATTAGCTCACCAACTGTGCACTTCACGAGATAAATTTGAAAGATATAAAGCAGCTACAAAGGATATGCTACCAGATGTTGATTACAAGGCAGCTCAAACTCGCAAACGTATCAGAAAGAAGGTACCCAGTGACGGAGATGCACCAGAAGTATATCTGAATGCCAGAGATAAATTTCGTATCACCACCTTTTACACAATTATTGACAAACTTGAAACTGAGATGAGAAGAAGAGGAGAGATATATAAAGAAATAGCAGAGAGGTTTTCTTTCCTAAGTGATGTGCCACATAATGCCACTTCATCATCTACTGAGATTGAAAGGTATTCTCAGTGCTGTCAAAAGCTGATTGATGCTTACCCAGAGGATTTCAACACTAATTTCTCAGCTGAGCTTCAGCAGTTTCACTTATATGTGCGCCATTAAGTTCAGTGCAACAAAAAATGTAAAAACAAGATTCAGTCATGCTGAACTTTATAAAATGATTGTAGAAGACAATATTGAGTGTGCCTTTCCAAATGTTGATATTGGCTTTCGTATATTTTTAACATTAATGGTCACAAATTGCTCAGCTGAGCGTTCATTTTCTAAGTTGAAGTATATTAAAAATCCCATCAGAACAACTATGCAACAAGGCCGGCTGGATGCCTTATCTCTACTAAGTATAGAAGCAGATGTGTTACATAAGACTAGTTTTGAGGATCTGATCAAAGACTTTGCAATTAAAAAAAGTAGGAGAAAACTTTTCAACTATAAATAAAGTGGACGTATACAAAAATAAACATTATTTTCCATCTTATTGTAAATTTTGTTTAATTTCGAAAAATAACATTTTATTTTATGGTTTAATATTGTTTATATTTTGAATTACATATATATGGGGGGGGGGCACCAAAATCTTTTAAGTGCTTAGGGCCTCTAAGGGTCTTAATCCGGCCCTGGTAGAACGGTTGCTGGGAAGCGTACCTGTGGATGAAATGGAATGCTCAACATGTAAACAGTAAATGTGATGTCGTAATGCATTGATGGAGTAATTGTCAGAAGTTAAAAAAATATCTCAGAAATTTTATTACCCAAATTACAAAGCCTTATCTTTTTATGGAATGTTTATGAGATAAGAAAAGAAAGCATTTATATATCTTCTATATAAAAATTTCCTGAAGTTCCTGATTAAAGTGCAATACTGTTCCAGAGGAATACCCAACCTTTCACTGTTCATGAATCAACAGACTCCATGAGGAACCCACAGTGGAAATATGCATTTAATGGCTTCCTTGGGATATTCTTGGCGAGAATCAACATAAAGTTTCCTATTGTTACTGTACCTGTAGCTACTGGTTATGTTTATGATGAATCAGTATAAATTTTTGTATGGTAATATCTGAATGAACATCTGTTCTATGGGATTTTTGTCATCATATTCTGAAGATTAGGTTAGGGTAGGTTTGGGGAGGGGGCATTTTTATGGTGATGGTGATAGTACTGTACAGTACAAGTATACTGTACTGTGCATGAAAAGATTGCACCTGACCAAAATTAATCAGATTAAAACTTTCTTTGCAGTATGTCTAGTCAAGAAGAAATATTGGTGAAAGTTTGGAAATAAAATAAAAAAAAGGAATAATGCATCTACCTCTTCTGCTGTCTTGTGATACACTTCTCAAAAAGAAAAACTCATGGACCAACTTACACTGGATTGGAGAGGTAAGGCATTTAGAGCATCATACTTTTTCCTATTCAGTAAACTATCAGTAGTGTGGTACTTGTCATGTTCCATCTTTACCCTCAACACAGACTCTCAATTCTCCACAGTTATTTTTTGCTGTTAATATTTTTTCTTATACTCTTACCTGCTGGAGACATTCAGGTTGTGGTATCCATGCATCTGTACTTGTTACCTGGCCTAATGCCCTCCAATAGTGCATATTAAGACTGAATTGGCCTCAATCATTGGTAGCGGAGCTGATTACTGATTGTAGTCATCTGGCTCATCTCTCTCTCTCTCTATATATATACTGTGATTATCTCTTCTGTTTGTCCTCCCACGTGGCTCCGGGACGTAAGCCAGCCTCATCAAAGGCAAATATTACTAGCAAAGACTCTAAACCTGAAGTGACCAAGAGATCAAGAATAGTGATGTCCTTAACAGAAAAATCAGTTTTATTGGTCAAGCTCAGAGGTGGTGTGAGCTCTGGCTCGAGATGTGGTGTCTTTGTCAGAATACAAGTCTTCAAGTAGAGGAATGAGGGTGGAAGAGGACTGGCAGGGAGAGGCTGGCGTGACTGTGTGAGGGCGGGCAGACGCCGGGACAGCAGGGAGAGGCTGGCAATGCGGGTGTTGCCCACCTCGGCAAAATATATAACATTTTATTTACTTGTAAATAATTTTTGGGGGAATATAACTGTGTTTATGTTTTTCCATTATTATACAGTACTACAATATGATTAGTTTCAAATAATGAGGTTAGTAAATGCTGGTACAGTGCATCAGTGATCAGTGTGACCACTGGGCCGTGAGCGTAGAGCATGGCGTACTGGCGTAGTTAAGTGCATGACCTACCAGAGCTGTTTGGTGGCCACAGATTCAGTGATTCTTAAAAGAGTATTCGTGGTTTTGGCTTTTCGCGGGGGTTTCAGGAACGTAATTCCGCGAAAAACACGGGATTACTGTAATAATAATAATAATAATAACAATAATAATAATAATAATAAAACCATAAAGAAATACAAAATGAAAAAGATCAAAAGTGAGAAACAATGTTTGTATGTTGTGTTGTCAATAGTAAGAGAAACAATTGAGACCCAGCAATTGTGTGTAAATGAGGCAGAAAGTCAGATCAGCTACCTGGGACTTGGTCACAATTTTTGTGTTGCTATGTGGCAGCAAGGTCTACCATTAGACAACACATTATGCTTCCAATATCTTCCCAGGCGGTAGTACCTCCCTGTTTGGTAGCTGCCTACTACTTACCTACCTACCTATCACCCTCATAGATTTTTCAATGAGAAAGAACACAGTCACCACAGCTAACATTGGTACCTCTGTGTGGCTGTTACCTCCTCAACACACTGGAATGTAATAATAATTACATAGGAAAATAATCTCTGAATTTCTTCAAGTATTACTGTTATTTTTTTTTTCTTTTTAAGTGAAAAAGCTCTAGAGGTTAGGTTTATTCCCTACATATCTCTTTCAGAAATCCATATTCCAGTTTGCACTGTCTATTGACCTGTAGTTGCCAGCCCATATTTTACTGGGTTTTATGAAAACCTAGAAGGCCAATATTTCAAAGGACCCATCTTGCATCACTGTAGGAAAACAAACAAGCAACTTACTCTTAAATGAACTGTAGATTCATCATGTAACAGCGGTGACACAAGTGTTACATTACGTGTCGATGCTATGTTATTATGTCTTGGCACTGACACAAATTAATGGAGCATACTACTGATGTGTTATTTGTTTGTTCTGATTAATGGTGAAAGGTGTGGTCTTGCCTCTATGACAGCCCAACACTTACCGGGTAACGACCCAACCAGAAGCAGTACCAAACATGAACCCCAAGGCACACCTCCAGCAGCTAGTTTTATGGTTCCATTAAGTTTCACAAATGACTAAATGTCCACCATCAAACTGACAAATACAACAAATATTTAGCTACAGTATACCTATCATAAAGACGTAATGTTATTTTCAAACAACAGGTTACACTATAATGGTGACTGATCACACTGTTTTCAGGATGCAAGGAAAGTATACTTAGTGTCCCGCCAATTCCTGGGTGAAGTGGACCTACGCACGGGTTGTACCTCCAAGATCCAGAAACTAAGCCACATAACTAAGACGGCAGCAGCTGTAAACTACACCTATGATGGTAAGTTTTGGTATTTTTTATGTGGGACGAATATTTGGAGTTGTGCAGTGACCGCATGCTTGGAGACTGCATCCCTTATGGAGTGGGAATGGGTAACTAGTAGATATAAATGTTTAAACAGGGTCATTGTATAGTACTGTACCTGTACTGTAGATATGTAGTTACTCCTCCCTGTGTGTGTTATAGAGCACTAGTTTTCCACCTCTTCTCTTTCTTCAAGTTGAGTTCAAATAATTGTCTCTCCTTGGTACTGTTGTATGGTTATAGCTGGTGGGTTGATCCTGAAAATTCTATTTTATGACTGAATTGGTGATGAGGCGTCTCAAAAACACTTCCTCCCGTTGTGTGTGAAGTGAAGTTTGATCAGACTAAGCTTGTTACTGGAAGTTTAAGATTATCAATGGGAAACAGTGAGAGCTCGGATTTCTTTGATTAATTCAGCATTTCTTTCTCCAACTCTCACTTTTTTTTTTTTACCAATCAATGAATCTAGTGTTTTTGTCATCAGTACAATACACTGGAACACTAAGCATGATTGCTACTTACCGGATATGACTGCATTATATACAGTAAATCTATATTTTGTGAACTGTATTTTGATTTTATTTATTTTTTCCATTTCTCAGTGAACCTTAAACTTAAAACTGTGTATTTTTCAGGTACTTATATTTATGGCATCTTGACATCTGGTGACATTTTCTTCTGGAACCAAACTTCTGAGTTTCTAAGTCAAGCACTTGGAATTCCTGCCCTTGTCACACATGGGACTTGCTCAACAGGCAGGGATTCACATGGTTAGATATTTTACAATTAATTATTATATCTTGACTGTGTATATTATAGATACTGTACTTATGTTATTGTTGTTATGATTGCCTCTATACACCGGCTTGACTGATTTTTACTCGTGCATAATCTCACATCTGTGTATAGTACCATCTTAGTGAAGCTATTTTTACCCAATCCACCACCACTCCCTCTGACCCCACTGCCCTTCTAAACTCCCCATGCATGAGTCTGCTTCTCTATTGATTGAATTTTTTAGTATTCTACTCCATCCCAAGTCCATGTTTTCATTGCCATAAGTCAAGCAGGAACCATTAAACTATCACAGTTCCATATTTACCTTCAAGCTTACTTCTCTTCTCTTGGTGATACTTCCCAGTGCTCCAGCCAGTCTCCTCCCATCTATTGTTGTCATTAATTTCTCTCCATTGTAACCTTCATATTCAACAGGACTTCCAAATATTTTAAGCCTTCAACTTACTCCCGCTCCTAATTCTCCACCGTGATTTTTCAGTTTTATTCACTTAATTTTTATGTTCTTTATGGTTTGTCAAAATGTATTCCGGTACTGTATGTCAAACTCTTTCCTATCAAGAACCATTACCTTACTTTTCCCAGTCCTGTACAATATTTATCTTCTATATTATTCATCCTTCCTTCATACTCTCTGTCAAGAGTTATTTATCACTTTTTGTCATTCTTTTTCACTCAGCAAAAAACACTGCAGTACTTATCATCATTATCACAGTTTTATGGCCATTTTTCACACTTATGTGGGTTAGCAGCCTCTTGCAGCCTCTCTTGTCAGGTTTATTTCTGAGATCATTTCTTATAACCTCTCCCCATGTCATTCTTGGCCTACCCCTGGCTCTCTTCTCTTTTGCTTTCAAGTTCAGGCACCTTGTGACTCGATTGGTCTCTTCCCTTCTCTCCACCTGCCTGAACCATCTCAACCTACCTTTATGAAAAACCTGACCAAAACTCTCAATGCCCAGCTGCCCTCTTAGCTGTGAACATGGAGAGACATATACTACCAGTTGCCAAGCTGTAACTTATTGAGAGAATTGGAAGCGAAAGATGAGTAAAATGGCTTATTGTTTTCACAGATGGTCCACTCCAGGCTGTGCAGGATTTCTTTAAGCAGCTAAAACCACAGAACCTTGGGAACAATGAAACCACAGAAAATGTTGAGTCCGCTCCTGGTTGTTCCTCGCCGTCACATTATAAGCCAAATATTTTTGCCTCATCTGACTGTTCAAAAGTTATTGTGGTCCTGGGTGCGAGTCAGGTGTGTTCAGTTTGTGTACAATATAGTCTTGTTGTTTTATACTTATACTTTACTTGTGTACATGTTAATATCACCACATTTTCAATCAAACTTAAAAGAAAATTTTTGATTTTTTTTTATTAATTAGAATTAGATACAGAGGATAAGTTTGACAACCTATAATGGAGGGCTGCCACAAGTACCAGGCCTGAGTGGTGTCCCAACATGTATAGGTCTTTTTATCATAAATGGTTTATAGTTTATGTGTGGTTAGGTGAAATAATTAAAAGGTTTTACCCTACATATAATTTTTTTTTGTACCCCTCAGCAAATATATAACTGTCTATGTAACTGTGTACTGTACAGTTATCTGTTTATGGCCTTTAAGTAATTTATCAAGTGACTATGAGTTTCCTTCATAAGAACACCCTCTGGCACAGTCTGCTTGGTCCAGAAGCTATGTATAAAGAGCTTCTTTCTCAGTTGATCCAGGTTAGTAAGGTGGAGCCTTGGCCCAGTATTTGCTTCAAGGGCAGGTGACCTTGAAGGTAGCTGCTGTGCCAGTACTCTAAATAGTACCTACCACAAGCCATGCATTTAATTAAACAAAAATGATTAGCACATTCCTTACAAAAATCATAATATTTCTTGGTAAGGAAGCCTGAGTGAGCATCATCTCATGGGTTAGGGTCTGCTTTTGGTTGCACTGCATTGTGGGTGTAAGGTCAGCCTTCAGGATGTTTAAACGGGCAAGAATCATAAGAATATATTTTTATACCATCCATTTACCGCATACCATAATTGAAGACTACAACGTTTAAGGGACAGTACTGTAGTTAGATTAAAATAGCTTTTAATATTTCATCTGGAGAAAGTGTCAGAAGTTTTGTTGTACTGGACTGGAATTTAGTCTGGTAAAGTGTCATGATATTGTACAGTACAGTACTACCACTTCCCACTCCTAAGTTGGCTTCTCCCTGGTGTGTGCAGTAGGCAGTCAATGGGAGCAGAATGCAAATGGCAGCCACAGGTGGTGTAGTGTGTTCTTTTAATTATACAGTATATGCCTACTCCCAGTCTCCCTTTTCAGGGCACCAGTAAGATTAGTCCTCATACAATAATAGGACCTGCCTGTTTATTATCTCTGCTAGGAAATAGGATTTAAGGACCGGACTTCCATTTTTCATATTCATTGTCTACAAATCTTATCTTTCCAGGTATATTTGTGGGAGAAAGATTTAACAAAACCTTGCAGTAAAAATTCAAGCACCATTCCTGGTCATTGGTCAGTAGTGTTGTGTCACAGTGGTATCCCACTACCCAGTCTACTGTCAAGAGAGACTCAAGTGACCTCATGCTTCTTGTTACAGGGAGTACGTTATATTGTGTTGGTTTATTTTTAAGGCATTATTATTCTTGGGGTGCAGCACTGGGGTGGATACAGCCTTCAGGGCCTCCCCATTTCACTTAGCTGTGAATGGGTACCTTATTTTTACATTTGGAAAGTGAAGGTGGTTGACTACAGTGCTTGCCACACTGCCTCTTGTTCATTGTTCTGTTTCTGCTGGCCCTCTAATGGGCCATCTCTTTTGGGACCCACTTTATATTTATTTATCTTCCATACTGCAGTATTACTTGGAATATTTGGTCCTATTAGAACTAGGGCTGCCCAGACGTGTGAATGTTTTTGGTTTTTGAACAATGCCACTCTTCAACAATAAAATTTTCCATGTACATGTTTCTGAAATGCCACACTGACACACTGTAACTTGTTTTGCCACAACTGTATGTTTAACAATTAGTAGTTAGGTGAATAGATGGCTTATGCTTCATTAAACAATTTCATGGTAGTAACAGGAACCTAACATTGCAATCCACCTGGCCTTTGTTTCTGTCCCATTGCATTTAGTTATGGCTAGGGTGGCTCTGCTTGCTATTTTGGGCACACGGGCAGCTTTATGTTGAAACTTTTCATGTTTGAGCAAATTTTACTCTAATAGAGGGTTAAATTTGGTTAGGTTAGGTTGGATTAAGTTAGAGGACGGGGATGGGCTCGGTTGTTTAATAAATCTACCGGTATTTCTATCTTTATCATCTTGATTTTATTTCCATTTTAAATGAAGAAAAGTTTTAAAACCCCCTAAAAAGGAATGAACTTTTGCTCAGCTCAGAATGATTAAAGCAAAAGTAATCAAAATGTTTGCACTGCTCTAGTGATTCATCCTATTACTTGTAAGTCATATCACTTTTACCACACCAGATTGGCTTTATCCCTCAGGGGTTCACACCAAGACCCATTAGTCTGCGTCTCTGGGTAATATATCCTATCCTACTGAGTTACAAGTTTTTGACTTATGTATTCTTACAACATGATCTCTCATGTAAGATTTCTCTCTAATGGTTGAAATGGTGAATATAGACATTTGTTTTATTAAAGTTTATCATAAGGTTGAATATTGCATATTCAGGGACTTTGTCATATGAAGAGACTGTTTAGTCTGGCACTGCACTTGATTGCCTTCACATCCCCAACTGTAATGTTAGGCACCCATTTACTGCCCAGTAAACTGGGGGTGCCCTCATATTACACCAGCAACCCTAAAGACAGGAGGTAGCACTGTATCCACTGGGCTGCTGAACCTCTTCTAAATACATTATATTCAGATTAATATTTGTACAAAATGTTGGTATTGCATGTGTTAGCTGTTTTGCCAAATTTTGTAGGCAGGAGACCATGTAGAAAGTGAGGTTGAGTTTTCTGATGGTTCCAAAGCAATTTTTGAAGATAATAGGAAATAGAAGCATTTTGTATATGCAACTTTGTTAATCCTGATTTTATGATTCATAGCCTTTGCCAACCTATAATATTTCAGAACTTATAAATCCATGTTTAGATTTTCCATTATATATTACAGTCTCAGGGAAAACAGTGCCACACAACCTTCAGCTTTGTTGATAACTCCTGTCTCATTATGACAACACTCACTCTACAATGGGAAGGTTCAGGCTGCTTGGTGCCACCTGCTGCAGTAGTGTCAGCCTTTTGGAATTATATTTCTGTTTCCCACCAAACATTTGGAATGAGAGAAAATGAACTGCTACAAAGAAAAGGAACATTAATTTCTCAGTAAGCCAGATATTTATTTTCTGTGGTTGATAGGAATTATAATTTTATATTTTTTTTGTATGTACTGTTGAATACTGTAGTGTGTAGCAGTGCTGATAACATAGAAATTTACATTAGGATCCTTACCCCAAAACTGACCATCTGATTCTTTCATTATTGATTAATGACAAACTACAGTATAAATATTCAGTTAATTTTCATGCTTTCAGGTATGCCCATGGTCAGTGTCTCATCAGTATTGCTGTAAATTCTCTACAGCAACATTCAAAATTGCTTTACTTACATCCCATGTGTAGCACTGTTGTTGTGGCTAATGTTAGTGATGCTGTTGGTCAACAAGATCTTTATAATGCCAAGTTAGTACAGTATAGTTTGTGAATTGTACAACAGAGGGCCTTAGAATTACAAGGCTGCAAGCACCATTTTTAAAAGTAAGAAACAAGCCCCTAAAGTTTTTTGTTTGTTACTCCACAAACAGAAACCTTTCAGTGCTATTTTCGACCATGTGAGAGTAACACAAGGCCGCAAATCCAAGCTCCACAAGACAGAACTCAAATTAGAGAATACTTTGGTACCAATTACACCATTACCCTTGCGTTGGCACTTGCGGCCTTGTGCTTCTGTATTCACCCCTTCACTCCATAGTAATCCTCTTTTTCTCCCTCCTCTATACAGTAGACATGCACCTGGCATAATCTGCAAAATCAAAATCCTTATTATAAAGGAGTATTGTATGTTTTATGTAATTACCGGTACTCATTTTGTTACTGTTTTTCTCCTCTTATTTCAGTTTTTGTTTTATTCAACAAATACATTATTTAGCTCTATACAGTACAGGTACTATAAGGTTTTGTATCAAAATTGAAGAATTTCTCTTAATTTTATATTTACCCTCTGTTTGGTCAGCTCTCACTTGTGTTCTGTCCCCTGTTATTTGATCTGTGGTGTTATGGTTTACAGATTTATGGTGTTATGGTTTACAGGTTTATGGTTTACAGGTTTATGGTTTACAGATTTATGGTATTATGGTTTACAGATTTATGGTGTTATAGTTTACAGATTTAAGGCATTTAGTTTACAGAGTTATGGTTTACAGATTTAAGGTGTTGAGTTTACAGATTTAGGGTGTTAGGTTAAACAGATTTATGGTGTTATGGTTTACAGATTTATGGTGTTATGGTTTACAGATTTATGGTTTTATGGTTTACAGATCTATGGTTTTATGGTTTACAGATTTATGGTGTTATGGTTTACAGGTTTATGGTTTACAGATTTATGGTGTTATGGTTTACAGATTTATGGTTTTATGGTTTACAGATTTATGGTGTTATGGTTTACAGGTTTATGGTTTACAGATTTATGGTGTTATGGTTTACAGATTTATGGTTTTATGGTTTACAGATCTATGGTGTTATAGTTTACAGATTTAACTGATTTCAGTAACAAGAACAAACTGTAAACATTAATGGTATTCATGTTATTGTCCCAACAGCAACAGTAAATCACACTGGGTGAGTGACCTGGCTTGGTGTCGAGATAACACTTATGTAGTGGGATGTCTGAGGTCTGGTTCTGTCTTCATAGCCACAAGGATGGGACCCTTAGTGAAGATCTCTTGCTCAGGAGAGAACCTACAGCTCCAAGCAGCCATGATGTTACCAGTGCATCCTTATTCTGCCACACCCAGAATAGAGTAAGTTCTCTGTCTCTGTATGTTGGAAGTGTATGACATATATAAAGTGGCTCAATGAATAATAAGTAGGAAGAAGTTAAGCAAAGTCCTGATGTACTGTACTGTTGGTGTATTAATCATCACCATTATAACCTGGCACATACTCCCTTTCTTCTTGCTTATCCTCATCCCCCTTTATTTACTTTATGTTAATTGTATATACAGGATATATATTTTTTTTACATTTCAGTTCATGTAATGAAAATTTGAGTGAAAGCTCTGATAGTTCACCATCAAGGCTCACTTTCTCTGTATCTTGTCATCCAGTGAGGGACCAGTTTCTTCTGTCATCTGGTTTGAGAGTCTCTGTGTTAGCTCTCCCTGAAAATGGTAGAAGGTAAAGATTTATGAGTTTCTTACTTTATGTTGTTGGGATTTATTCTATTTGTGTGTGTGTGCCCATTCAGTGCAAATGTTTCTGCCTTTTTAAGAACAGTAGAGCCTCACAAGAGGTTGATGTGCTGCTGCCAATTACTTCACATGCAGAGCCAGCCAATGCCCTCAAAGTGAATAATGCTTGACAGCAGGGAAACTAGCCTGATTGATAAGGCATTGCTGGGAAAGCTTAGAGAGGTACCATCAGGTTATCACGGCTAACTCACACAAGTGTGGAAAATGGTCTTAAAACATTGATGGTTATGATGATGATGATTGTTGTGTGATGAGTACACTACAGCCTTCCCAGAGACCAGTGGGGCTAATCAGGCTGGACAAGATTGAGAAGTTCTGGCAGTACTCCTTTTTTAACTTATTATTATGTTTTATTACAAGTTCTTGATTTTGCCTCACAGATATTGTACTGTTGCCCCTCTATTTACTCTGTGGTTATGTTCTTGTAAAGCTCCATACTAATAGAAACTGTGGACAAAAATACTGAGGGCTTATGGGTAATAAGGGTTTAGTTTCCAGACTCACAAGAGGAACTCCCTCATTCATCCAATAAGCTAATATACTTTTTTTTTATGGGAAATAACTCACCCAGGCACAGGTCATCGAACCACAACAGGGCCTGGGGGGCTAAAAAATAAGAGTAGAAAAATATTTGAATTTACTACTGTACTAAGTTTTATTGATGATAATGATGGTCAACTTAATACTGTATAATGATAATGTTGATGTTTAAGTTTGGGGATTCTTCTGAACAACCTGGGGAGACTGGAGGGTGTTGTGTGGAGTTGGTGGAGGAAGTGACAGCTATGGTGGTGTCTCACTTATGAAAGAGCATGGTAGAAGTAATGGTGACAGAGGCGGTAGTGGCAGCCATGTGAAAAAAAATGGTGGTGGTCATGTCTTGGCTTTATTTTGCAAATCTTTGGCAGTCCTCGTTATTATTGGGGGTTGCATTCCTAAAAAAAAACTGTTTAATGAATAAAAAGTTTAATGAAAAAAATGAAAGTATCAGAAATTATGTTAAACTTCAAGCCAAGAGCTCTAGCAATATCCAAAGTTTGTTCCCCCTTTACTGCACTGTATTCACAGAAATATATTTTCTTATCTGCTTCATTTATATTTGTTTCCATTATAATAAAAATAAATATTAAAGTACTTAATATTCACCAAAATATTTGTTTTTTGGGGGTTCATTATGGAGGGACTCACCCGTGGTGTACTCCTCAGGCTCCATGTGGTGGCTGTGTTGGACCATGTATGATATTAGTACTTCCACACTCTGTATGTACAAAAAATAAAGGGACACAGTTACTTGGCCTTGAAACTGTGTAAATTGAGGGCTTACTGTACTGTTTTTGACATTGCTTGCTGTTTGGTGATACAGTACAGTACAAGGTGAATTTGTCCAAGTTTAACAGCCAATTTGCCAGACTCAACCTTATTATATTTCACATTTTGTTACCTAGTTGTCTTACTGTACTGTAGTAATAATATTTTCACCCAAAGGGGTATTATTCTGTAAGTCCGTTTGACAAATTATTTTGTGTGTGTTTGACGATTTTTTCTAACATTTTTAATGTTAGATATCAACTGCTGTGTCTGAGAGATTTCCACATATAATCTCATAATTGTGGCGAGTATTATTCCTAAAGTTTTATCTCTCTTGTTCACAGAGATGCAGAAGTTGTGGATCAACTGCTTGCAACTGCTCACCATGCTTTATACTTGCTCCGCCACTCTTCCTTGACCCATGATTACGCCTACATTCGTTGTAGCACCTGGAGACTGGCCCGATCTGTGCTAGATTTGTCTCAAAATATTAATGAATCGCTTGGAGCTGATGAATCTAAGGTACAAGTTACCATTAACATTAATCATAATCTTTAAATTATTAGCTACCTTCTGTATAGATCTTGAGAGAAAAAAAAGATAAATAATACATAAGTTTTGCAAGGACTGGAAACTTGATCATAGGTTCAGATGTTATTATATTTGTAGAAAGAAAAGGTATAACCTAGCCCAGGAGTAGGTGGGTTTTTGGTTGCTAAAAGTTTCCCCATTGAGGAAATATCCCATCAGTATTTCCCTGTCATCATAAGCCAGTCTGACTGATTACTCCCTCCTCTCTTCATGCAGGCCTTGTCTTTCCACTATTACAATGATTTATAGAAACTACATTGCCTATTTATATCTTTAAAGGATGTCTTCCTTTTAAGAGTAAATGTCTTTTGTAATAATGGGAGTATACACATACAGTATTGTATTGTATTATTTCAGATCCACTTATGGGGCAAGAAGAACCAGAATGTGGAGGAATGCAAGACTTATCCAGATGTTGCCACAGAAGGGGAGCACATGGTGAGACCAACCTAGTCACATTGTTCTTTTAATGCCAACCCTTTTCATATTAACCTGTCATCATCATCATCACTAATAATGTTTTACGACCATTTTCCACTCTTGTGTGGGTTAACTGTGAGAATCTGATGGCAGCTTTCCACACTGCATAAATTCTTGCAGTGCCTTCATAGTCAAAAAGTTCCAGGATTAACTGTACATCTGTCCTCCTTGACTTGAACCCCTCAGTCATAAGCTTATATTGATAACATTGTTCCATACAGTTTCTCTGCCTCTAGCTAACACTTTAACGGGTGTTGCCTGCTCTCTCGAGCAATTTTATAAATTATTAATATTTTCTTTTTCATTCATATGAACTATTTCTTGCTTTGCTTTAGTGTGGACAGACAGATACTGATATTCTTATTCCTAGCATTAAGCAGCAACTGGGTTACCCCACCATCTTGGTGATGATATTAGCCCACAAAAAAGTTGTTCCACCATTGACAAGTGTGCCTTTCATTGTAGGCATTTATTACTTAGTGTACAAGAAAGGAATCCAGTTCTCTACTTCAGTTTGGTAATGAACCTGTTAACATTCACTTGTGAATTGAATGATCTATCCACCATATGCCTTTAAAAACCACTTGTGTAATCTAGCACATTGTATCTCGGGAAACACTTGGCTTGATGTCTAGGTATTCAATGTGACACTTTAGTATTAATGACAAGGGCCACAACACAACACTTAGTTCTAAAATCAAGACTGGCAGATAATAACATGAATTACATTACCGTAACTAAGGTAAATATCTACACCAAATTTTTCTTTTAAAATGATGTCAAAACTCTTCAGATTGTGCAAGTGATGAAACCTCTCGTGGCAGCCTGGACTTTTATTGCCTCTCACACGGGGCCTCAGACACAAGACTGGAGAAAGAGACCAAAGCATGTGGCTAAACAGTTGGTGAAGCTTATCAGTACATTGATGCAGACAACCTTAAATGGGGACTACTCTGAACACCAGGCTCAGCTCTTACAAATGCTACATGTCTTTCACCATTTTGTTAAGGTAAGTCAGGGAGATCAGAATAAATGAGTTCTAGACTCAAGGCAGAATTGTAGTTGTTAGTGGTGTCTTTGGTAAGAGATAGTTGTGTAGTCAAGAACTTAGTACAGAAAAACTGAGAATTATTTTGGCTTGTATGTGTGGTGGAAAGGTAGCCAACACCACAACTGTTCTTTCTAACTATAACTCTTTTTCTCCAGACCAGAGAACATTCTGGTTTTGAACATAGTACAGGTACAGTATTGTACAGTGATTTTTGATGGGCATTTAAAAAATTGTAGTCTTTGGGCACATCAAGGAACACATCCCTCACAAAACGAGAGGAGGTACTGTACCAGTATATTTACGAACATGAAGTTGGTGCTTCAATTTAGATGTGAACTCAAATTGATCTAAAAAGTATGATAAATTAATTTGAATAATCTTAGAAATATAATCAATGTAATTCTATAGTCTCACTTAATATATCTGCTCCATTTATACTGTACTTACTAACTAAACTAAAATATAGAAGTCTTCAGAAAGCAGTATACAGTAGTATAAATAAACACTGCTGTAGTCAGTCACACTTGCAGGTAGAAATAATATAAAGGTGACAAGTACAATTAGGAAGAGGTCATTATGATGTAAATATGCCTGTGATCCTTTCTTTCACAAGTGTCCTGCTGTGTTTTGTTGCCTAATTATATCTTTTAATTTATTCTTTTCTAACTGATGGGTTATTTCCTGACTATATCTGCCAGTTCAAGAGTTCATCAGTGCTTTATCTTGTTCAGCTCTTCATATTACACATTAATGATCATTCTCATGTACACAGTTCATCCCTCTATATATCATTCACTCTGACTATCCCATTCACTCACAACAGAATGTATAGTACTGTCATGCTTCCATAAATTGATAATAATAAGAGATATAATGTAGCACGTTATTTAACATTGATTTTAACGCCATTATCCCACCCTCACGGCATTTAGTTCATGGGCCTTATCCTTACCTCATATATTAACATGGCAAAAGGCATCAGAACTTTGGCTCACATACAGAGCCAGGCCTTACTTTAGTGATGACTACTACACTAGTTGGTAACAGTCAAGAAGGTTGAATGGATGGAGGCGGTGTTCACTGTGAATGTAACAGAGATGCTTGAAGCCAGGCCGCCGTTTTGGTGACGCCAACAAGGCCACAGTTGCCGCAGCTACTTATGAACAAACGCAGGATTTATACTATTGTTTTATTTATTATGCACATTATAGAGGGATCAACCAAGGAGGATGAAGTCACTGAGAAAAAAGCACTGCCATAATGGTCAAGGCATCAGTCACACTCAGTGACTTCACATGAGGCAGCGGGTGCCGCCTCCATCCATTCAACCTCCTTGGTAACACTTTATTAGTCTTTAGTGCTCCCAGAGGGAATATTGCTGGCATCCCTTGGCAGGTTGTTGTGTTGTGGTTCTTCACCTCTTTGACTCGTTCAAAAGATACCCTTCAGAACAATGAAAAATAATAACCTTACCAGAAAATTATCAAACTTATATTACATCTTCAGATTTTTTCACTTAATAAATATTTAATTATTTTTTAATAATATATGAAGAATTTTTTTTTGTGAACTGTATCTTCTTCCACAGGTATTAGCGGTATGGCCCAGATCACTGCATATGATTAGACCCACATTATGGCTCACACACCAGATCATTCACACCTTCCTCAGCTGTGAGAGACATGCTGGGGAGAGCAGCATGATAGACACGCTGCTTATACTGACACAAGCGCTCTCCTCTGTGGAAAGTACACTTGCCCAGATCTATGCATTTAGGCCTGTGTTAAAATCCTCTTACCTTTTGAGGTATAGTAATGTTGATGAGGCTCCTGGCATAGAGCAAACAAATATTAATGCAATTTCATGCAACACACAAATGGATGGAATGTTTAAAGGTGATCCTGCAGTATGTGAGAAGATGAAAAATCTGTGGATGTGTTTGTACGTGAACTCTGTGAAGGTGTATACTCGACTTGGAGAAAAGAAATTTGAAAGAGCGAGTTACCAGAAGTCAGTAGCAGTGATGAACATAACCCAGTGTAGATTACAAAAGCTTGGATGTGACTTTAATCAGAGGAAAGTTAAACTCAAGAGATGTAATCAACTCTATTTAAATGGGATTTATCATGGTGCTATAGAAGAATGGAAATCTGAGATAATCCAAAGTTTAACTCATGAGAAGAGTAGAAAGAAGATATGTCAGTATCTTCATTCTATTCTCTATACATATTTACTCTATAGAGACTTCATTGGCATCTCAAACTTTTTCTCTTGGTTGTACACTTTGCTGAGTTCAGATTTTAGTGTACAGAATCAGTCTAGTCATTTGAATGGTATATGTTCAACTCCAAAGACAGATAGATCCATTGCCAGACACTCGGAACTGGATTTGGATATATCGCCAATAAAGAAAGAAACAATCAAGAAAGGCAGTCAGGAAGTGAGGGACATCTCAAGAGGATCTGTACTTCGAAAGAAATCAAAGGAGACCTCAGAGCAAGAATTTAAGTCATCTGCCTCCAAAATAAATGACTCAGAGACAAGAAATCAAGAGTCAGATTCTAGTGGAGGAGAATTTCAACTTATGTGCAATTTGAACAGTGCTGCTCGTCGAATGATTGGAAGTTTTGGTCGAATTCTTGCAGAAGTATTTCTTCAACGTGATATTCATATACCTTCACCGCACACTCCTCATTTAATACCACCTATTTGGATTGACTATCAGGAACTAAAAGGTTTGTTTGAACTTTTCATATTTTCCATTATATAAAAATCAAATGAAAACCATGCAAACTTAAATAAGTTAAGGTAGTTGAAAATGATTTGTAAATGTTCCTACTAAAGGCTTGAGACTTTTTAACCAGGGAAACCCTAACCTACAATGGCTGGGACTAATCCAAAGATAAGTCTTTATAGATGATTCACAGTATTTGCACAACTTGCCTTTCCGTGGAGTCTCAGTTGTAAAGCAGATCACAGAATCACCTCACTGTCAGCTGCCAAACTCACATTTTCACAATAAAAGCCAAATGCCTGGCTTGTTTTGTTTATAGAGGTCTTGTAATTTGGAATGTTTAGTTTAAGGCAAGAATGTACAGCTCTATACTGTAGGTGTGTATGAGGTCAACAGTGACCACAGTAATCAAGTAAAAGCTTTTCAAAAGGGAATTATCCAAACTTATTGAGTTATTCTCAGTGAAGAGGTGGTACATCTTCTGCACAGCCTTGGCTGGCTGTTGGAAGCTACTGACTGGAGTATACTGTAATCATAAAATATGGTTGAAACAATAACTAATGATTGTAAGAGGTGCTTGATGAGAAATTTCCATTTGCTTTAATGAGAAAGGTGTCACAGACTAATTTGTATGTTGTTTTGTGGAACAGATAGAGGCATTGGTACAACAGCCCTCAGCCCCACCATTATGAAGGATGTCATCCATGAAGTACATTGGTCAACTGAGGTAGCAGCACAAGCTTTAGCTATTGCTGGGTACTGGAGTGATCTCACTGTCCTCTCACTGGATTTGGGAGATGCAAGAACAGCTTTGCTTTCTAGTCTTGTTGCAGTCATAGCTGGGAAACACAAGTAAGTTCTTTGATGGAATAAAACCATGTCATCTAATACCATCTTTTCTAATTCTCTATTAGTGTGGTACAGTGCATCTAACTGACAGGTGTGTTTAATCTTAATATCTGAGATAAAGTGGTTTGTAGAATTTTTCTTTGTCTTCCGGTGTTTCTCAATATTATTTTCTCTCTCATTTTTGTTTTTTACTTCAGATGCTTTTTCATCATAATCATTTACTTTTTCTTATCCTTGTAAATCTTCCTTTTTTAAGTTCTCATCTTTACTATTTTACCTTCATTTCACAATTACTGTACTTTACATTACCTTGTATTTCTTTAAATTTATACCACTTTATCATTACTCTTTTCTTCCTCTTTGTCTTCTTTTTCTTTCATGTACAGTAAACCCTCACCTTTGTGTAAGGTTGCCTTCGTTGACCTTTATGTAGATTGAGGACACAGTCTTTCTTGAAATTTCCTGTAAAAGGCTCCAACAGGTCATGTCTTCTTTTAAATGACTATTATGAGTGATATTCTCAGTTATCAAAGACATTATTCCTGAATGTGATGTTAAGATAACGATAATGACAGAAACAAGTTCAGGGAATTTATGAATTGCTTATGGTTAACTTGATGAGGCCTCACAACCTGGAGTCAGCAGCTTATATTGACAATACAGTAAATTCACTTATAATTCATTGGGAGATAATAAATGATACTGTTAGGCGATGTAAAGGGTTTTGAAGAATGAAGATTAGAAATATATGTGTGGAAAAAAGTGACAGTGGACCCCATTAGCCTGATAGCCCATTACAAACAGTGTGGTAACAGTACACTGTATATTAATCCTTCATTACACAAGGAGGTAGTGTGGCAGCACTCCTCTCTACTGACTTCACTTCCCTATTTACAGACACTGATATTTCACCCTAGTTCTGCTACCCTAACTAAATGTATATGTACTATACTTCTCTAGTTCTAAAAATCTTCATTTTGAGAGTTGGAATATTTCCTCAGAGTGCCAGTGCCAAGCAGTTTACATCCCTCAACTCTGATTAAAAACTATGTACTACACTATGGACCTATGGAAGATGCCACACCATCAGTATTTCATAGTTACCAAGAGCTTATACAGGTGGCATCTATGACATGCCTTGAGGTCCTACCAGACATCCTAGAAGAATGCCTCCAGAAGGTCCAAGAGGTGATGCAGCTGCTTGAGGTACTTGTGCTGCCACATGTGTACCTTCCTGCTCCACCTGTGTTCTGTCCTCAGGTGACTTCATGTATGGAGGACACACCACAGTTACCCAGTGTCTCCATCAGGTGAGTTGTCTATATAATACTTTTTTAATTATCTCATGCTAAGTCACTTGCATATTCCAACTAGTTAAACAGTTGTAGAAAATTTACACCAATATATAGGTTACCAATCATCACTATACAGTACACTTAAATATTCTCTCCATTATTGTGCAACAGAAACTATGTGAAGAACATTTGGTTAACCTTTAAATGTCAGCCATCATCAGTGGAAGTTAGCTGTATGGACAGCGACCATCATCAGTACAGTAGATGTTTAATGTTTGTTGCATTCTATTTTGTACATATAGGGGTGGAGTAGGGAAGCCTTAGCCACTGGTTAAAGGTGAAATAGAATTGTTTAGATACTTTATGGGTAATTGACTCAATTGTCTTGACACTCCTCTAGACACAAATTACTTCTAATAGAAATATTTCTTACCCTTAAAAACTTTTGTTGGGAGAAAGAAACCACAAGATTATGAAAACTGATCCTTTAGCTTCACTTCTTTTACAGATATGATGAAAGGACCTTACGGAAGGAACTAGCAGGTTGGGTTAGAGTATTTTCCTGTGTCATCAGTGCAGCAGGACTAGCTCAACCTTTATTGCTGGATCTCTCCCATACTTTGCAACATAATCCAGAAAAGGTATTGTTTCTAGCATATTCCCTTTAGCCCAACAGCTCTCATAATACAGGCTGCTTATGGGAGGGAGGGGGGGGAGTGTTTCTATGTCTTTAGAGAACCAATCGTCATTCCTCCCCATCTGCCCCAATAGAAGATCAAGTACAGCAGTTGACCTTTGGAGACATAAGGTCTATTAGAGCTGTATCTATCCAGTCAGCACACTCCACCTCAGGACAGGAGGTGACTGTTGTATTCACTCAGCTGCTGCAGCCCTACAGTAATATAAGAAGATAAGAATAACAAGAGCACAAACCTAAAGCCACAATAATAAATAATGTATTCTCTTATACTCAACAGTATGGAGATGTTCACATAGCAAAAGTTGCAAGAACAATGAACAAAGAATTCTGGATAAGTTTTCTATATGTTGCTGAAGGATATACTGTAGGGTCAACTCTCAGACTAGTCCTTTGAATTATGAAAGCTGCCTGGATCATCATCATCATGCATACAAGATTGACCCTGAAATCCTGTTTTCAGGGAGAGCTCTTAGCCAGGTGGTTTGTATACCCTGTTTACCCCCTTAGGTTTATGGCTTAATCGGCTGAACTGAAATAGAAAATTGTAGTTTGGTTCAGAGCAAAGATGACATAGCCTAACTTTGGCATAAAGTGTGTTGATTGGATATTCACGGCTCTAATAAATCTCATGTTCCCAGAGGACAACTGTTGCACCTGACCACCCCATGGGTGTGATGTGGAGGGAAGGGTGATTGGTTTACCCAAAACAGGTATATGGATAAATCTTCACTGACAAGGGGCCCCAGTAAGTATCCTGTATTACAAGAGTTGCTTGACAATACATACAGGCACTCCCTGGGTTACAGAACACTTGGTTTACAGAAATTCAAGGATACAGGATGCCTCCCATAAGTACCATTATAAAAAAATTTGGGTTGCACAAGAGTTTTTGGTATTACAGAAGGTAACTAGTACGGCGTAACAACACTATTTGTGGAGGATTATTCATAAGGTGGCTGAGCGCATCCCCTTGTGTTATGCCACCTGTGATTCAGTACAGGGTACAGTACAAATTTACCTTATGGAAGGATCGGTTTACAGAAAATTCGGCTTATAGATAGGGTCCAGGAAGGGAACCTTTCTGTAAACTGTGGAGTGTCTGTACAGTAGTTTTACTAGAAAATTAAATTCAGGATCAGTCCCTCATTACTGCTTGTTTTGTAAGATTTTTAACATTTTGTTTAAAGGTAGATTTATTTTTGTGATAATTTACTCCTACAGTTCATGAAGCACACATCCAACACCAAGGTTCTTTATCAGTAATCTGGCAGCTGACACAGATTATATTCACTTTGGATTCATAGATATTTTTTTTTATTGTTTGGGCAGTGCAGAGCCAAACACTTCTTACCTCACACTGTAGTGTCTCTTCAATATGAGATGCAATGTTCACTAGACTGTAATATGTAGTGATTACCACTGACTTTGTTTCACTATTGGTAAGTGCAATGTATTTCATCTCAGAGTTATATTGTGACCATAGTTATCTTACAGCATTTGTTTTCATTCAGTCCCCAGTTTGTACACATTCTAAGCTCATTGACAGGTGGTCTCTACATTGTAATAGCTTAGTCATACTCTACTGTTAATCATATCCTCTTTAGCATTTCCTTGGTAATCTGAAATCTGGGAATGCTTAATTTGTACTGTCTTACCAAACTGAATCGTGTAACTAGTTGTTTAGCCTTAAAACGTTATACAAGTATGCCCAAACTTGTCTAATTTTGATTGCATAAAAAGTTGTCTCAACACTCAATATTTGGCCAGAATTCTAGATTTAAGTGTTGCTGCTGTCCAGTCATTTAAGGTAAAAGGGAATTGACTTAGATATAGAACAAGAGCTACATGATGTTTTTTTATGAGGCTGCTCTATGTCCTCTGGTCATTATATACAGTTGCTGACTCTGCTACTCCATACTGTCCTGCTTATCAACAACACTATTTATGTTACATCTTTGACCCTTCTTCCCCTTAAGTACTTGAACTTACAGTGGCATTAGTTTTCTTCTTTGCTACACTCTTACATTTTCTTTAGTTAGTGTCCTCCTACTCAACACATTTGCTCTTGTGCTTCTTGACTTTTAAGATTATTATTATTATTATTTTATTTTATTTTATTTTATTTTATTATTATTCAGGTTTCTGACATGTATGATGAAGAGCTGGAGAACTTGACAGAGACACTTGGTCATGTTCAAGAAGACTGGACTCCTCAGGGCCCAGAATGGTCAAGAATCTGTCAGCTTTGGCACAAGTTTATAAACCACTTGTGGACTCTTCACGCACGGGATAAATTATCTATATGTGTGCGAAAATTCACTGCAAATGCCTCTTCTTTATATCAGGTGAATTTGTTTATTAGAGCAAAGAAATGACATTGGGCCTTGCATCAATAATTTTTTAGTTTTTTATATCATGAACAGTAGTAATAATTTCCTTTTTGCTTGTCTGCTTCTGTATATAATCTTTACATCTCAATAGTGCAGTTCATGTTAGGTCTCTGTTTTTTTTGTTGATTCCCTCTCACCCATATGCACTATACAGGTATATCTTTTAGAAACTGTGCCCTTTCATCTGACTTTCAGTGTTTCCATAAAACTATAACTGTACCTTTCACCTTTTTCTGGTGTGCAGTTTCTCCATTTGCTTTATTCCTTCCTGTCTCTTCTCTTGATATATACAGTACTGTACATATTATAAAATAAAGGTGCATCTCCTATATCATGATGTATAATATTTTAGGGTAGTAATTATATAATTGTTGATCATTGCTTTGGTATATTTAATTTAATAAAATAATGTCATTTACAATGTGTTGCAGATCAGAGCCACTGGACAGGGAAATACAACAGAGATCCTGACGTGGGTATTCGAACTTCACAAGCTGATTGATTCTGATTCTTGGAGAGATGAATTAATTGCCACAGCACTGACAGCAGCAAGTAACAGCCCACCACTTCCTGTAATTGCTCAAGCTTTAGCCATGATTATACCTAAACCTTCCCAGCTGCCTTCATTGTTAAAGAATAAAGCAAAAAGACTTTTTGATCTTTGGAAAACTACAAATGTAATGGTAACAGAAATTGGGGATTCCCCTCAAAATGAGGAAGATAAATCAGGAGAGAACGAGTCATTAATTGACACATGTAATAATTTGTATAGTATATATGAGAAAAAGTGCTCGGAAGAAATAGAGATCTTTGATGTGAGTAGTAAAGATCACATTGATCCACATAAAGACAACAGGAGGAAGGAATGTAATGGACTGGCAGGTGATACTCCCTATACTTTCCGGACAACCTCAGAGGATGTGGAAGAGGAATTTAGAAAATTTGTGTTTCTCTTTGCTAGTATGACTTTTGCACGGGATGCTGAAATGTTCCCGCAGAAAATTGAACAGGTCCCTCAACTTGTTCAGTTTAGTGAGGAAATAAAGAAGAGAGAGTTTCAGGGGATGAAGATTAAAAGACATGTATATGAAATTAAACAGGGAGTTTGTACAGAGAATAGTGAACATAATATTCTGTATGATACAAATAATATGAGTTTATTAAATGTAAGTAAGGGTAAAGGATCCACAGAAAAGAAAGGATTATTTCGAAATTTAGATTATTCAAAGATTTGGCAAGGAGACATACAAACTGTCTTTCATTTAGAACGCAACACATCCCTTCATGCTAATAGCTCACAAAGTTATCAAAGAAAGCAAAATACATCTCTTCCTCAAAAGAAACAATTTATCAACCAAAGAAATTCATCTTCTAATACAGGGAAGGACAAAGAATTCTCCAGCAGATATAATAATTCAGGCAGTAGAAAAAATAGATCCCGTTCTTCAGCAGAGAGGAAACAAGATACATCCTCAGCATCATTAAAGATTAGAAGTAGATCAGCCAGCTTACCAAGGCTTAAGGAAAGAAGTAACCTCAAACATATAAATATTAATGATAGAACCACTTCCTCTACTTTGAGTCCCAGTTCTCCCTTGAGTAATTTTCTGCATATCTCTAAATCTCATAATTCTGATATGAAAAATAATGTATTACGAGATAGGATAAAACTAGTTCAGTGGCTGATGAGTAGTGAAAGAAAGTTCTCCCTTCCAACTAAGACTGCCAATACAAGAGTCAGTGCAGCAGCTGAACACACAACTATAAAAAAAGTGGACTTAGACTTGGATGATATTGTTTTAGCGCTTCGTTGGGAGTATTTATCTAAACCTAACTTGTATAATACGCCACTGAGGAAAGTTCCCGTGGCATTGAGGCATGAGAAGAAACAAAGTGTAGAAGTGTCAATAGATGGACATAATAAAAGGAAAGGCAGCCCTAAACTGAAGCAAACATTAAAAGTAGCAGAGCCTTCACCTGACATCACCAATGGTACACAGAAGGCAAATGTTGGACGAGGATTTATCACATCACCAAATAGTACTCAAGAGGATGAACATTTAGTTAAAACAGCAGTTAAGAAGGCTGTTAGGAAGATCAATTACCCTAAAAAGGCCAACTTAACGACAAAAAAAGTGGAAAAAGATCCCCAAAATGCAGTGAATGTCATAACCACAACCACCGAACAGAATTATGACTGGGTACAGGAGGAAGAAGAACAGAGTCAATATAATCAAATGACTTCCGTAGCAGATACTACACAAGGGAACCAAGATAGGGAAGCTTTTTATTCTTTACATAAAAATGAACATAACTCACCAGTGGATTTAGAAAATTCTGATGTAAGCCAGGAAAATGGGATAGGCCTTCTGAGGAATTTTCCTGATAAATGTAAACAGGAAGTGGCTATAGATGAACAAGATGGAAAAGTTTCTGACATAATGAATAAGAATACTAGTGAAATAGACCAGCCATCATCTACAAGGAGCACCGAGACATATGATCATACAGAAAAAGAATCTAAGAAAACAGTTGAGAAGATGAAGCCCGGCGTAAAGGACATTAGAAAATGTTCTGACGGCCAGTGGAGTGATGCCAGTGTTGTTGGAGTGAGCTCTGAGGAGGCAGCAGTGCGGGAAGAGAAACATCCAGGTCATCCAGTTAATGAGGCTGTTGATAAAGTGCCCTCAAAACTAATGTCTGAAAAATCTCATATTAAATCATCACAAACTCTTAAGGAAAAAAACATAACTTTTAAAGTCATTTCCCCTGAACGAGAGGAAGATTCTGAAATAAAGAAAGATGAGCGTGATATCAGTAGAAAATCGAGAAGTAAAAGTACAGATACAGGCAAGGCTCTCTACAGGCAAGATGCCCCAGAAGCTGTTTCCCAGTACCCAGCCTCAAAAAGTATATGGAGACCTTTCAGAGCTAGGAATAAAGGTTATCTTAAGCCCCCACTGCTGGTTCTTGAAGTGGAAGATGCAGGAAAGCCAATCCTTCATAACAGAAAACTTTCCTCTGACCGCCAGAAAAAAAATAGCCTCACCCCCATTGAAACACCTTCAGAAATTTATGGAACAAATGATGGTGTGTCTCCCAAATTACTCCACATGCCATCTACATCATGTCAGGGTAGCAAAAGATTAACCATATCTGACCTTAATGATAATGATACTATCTCCACACACCAGTCCATGGCGCTCCCTGTAGATGATACTCTAGATGACGTCACACTGCCTGATTCCTTACATGGTTCTGATCTAGAAGGTGACGGTGAATATAGTTTATCTAGTCAAAATATTATTCAGGAAAATATTATCAAGAAACATAAATTTCAGTTCCCTAAAAGAGACTTGCCAAGAGATGTGCCCAGAAAATATAATACAACGATTACATTAAAGAAACCTGTTAATTTAAAACAAACACCACAGTGGGATGAAAAAGAACTGTATCTAAAACCAATTCCAGTTCGTGTTAAGTGTAATTCACCAAAAGTTCACGACTCGGGTGAGAAAAGCACTGATGGTCAAGGTGAAACTCGACCAGTTTTGGAAAAAAATGCGATCATGAACAGAAAACTAAAGCTTCTAACATTACCCAAACATTCTCCACAAAATGTTGAAAATACACAACATTATCCAACTTTGGTGTTAAAACGATTGCCAGCAGATAAATTATTACAGGTTAAATCTAAAAGTAGTAACTTATTCACAGTACCAGATAAAGGTCACTCAGACTATCCAGGTGAAATGTACAATAATAACCATCATATAAATTTGACTAAACAGACACCACCCAAAAAATTAAGGCATAAAGATATGAAATTACTAACTCTGCCTACTTGTTCATACACCCAGCTGAGGGAAGGGTCAGAGGCACAGTTTCTTAATTTACTTGATCCTAATCAAGTTTTTGCTTTTTATAAGAGAAATATGACAAAGAAGCAGAATCGCTTTAAAACTCTGAAAATAAATGAACCAATTATGAACAAAAACTTGATGGAAGTTTCTGAAAAGGAATCTTGCATTAAAGACCAGACTGTAAATAATGGAGTGAGAGTTGTACAACCCAGTGTACAAGAGAGTTTAGATAAAGGTTTTCTTGAGGAGATTAAAAAATATTCTGATAAGTATGAAGGAGGTGCATACAAAAATATTTTGACAAAAGGATATCATGAGAATGGGGGAACAGTGAAATCCAGACTGCAGTATGAAGTGACACAGAGGCTAGAAAAAATTAATCAAAGTGAATCTCGGCATGTCTGGAATACCAAGGAAACACAGACTTCTACTCCATGTCTCACTGATTTCCAAATAACTAAACATCTCATAAGTGATGAAGAGACAACACCCATTGATTCAAAAGGAACAAGAGCTCAGGAAGACATTATTTGCTTGAGGGGAGAGAATGAAATGGCAGAAAGGCATAATGGTCCAGGATCCCCTAAAGGACAATTGCATACTAAGGCATTAGAAAAAGTGGTCATCAAAGTTAAAGATTCTTGGACAGAAACTAGCAGTGTTAACCTGAATCAAAATATACCAGTAAAGAGCTGTGAGATACAGGTATGATTATTATTGTTGTCATTACTGATAATATTGTCAATGCCCTGTACTGTTTTTTAATGATGATTAGTATCAGTTTTAAATTCATTAATAATTATAATTTTAATTACTTTATTATTTCAAGCTCCAACAAGACTGTGGGACTTATGTCAAATACTGTAGATATATTTCTCTTTTTTTTTCAGACTCAGACAGAAGATAGACCCTTAAAGAGTGTCTCTGTGTGTACTGACATTGCTACCTCACCTCAAGCTGCTCCACCAACTCACTCACTACCACAACAGATTCTTCCTGTGACTCATCACCCACAGTCTCTGGAGAATCATTCCTCCCCAATTCCTGCAACTTATGAAACTCTTGCAATTGATCTTGGCACTAAAGCTCTTAACACTTCCTCTAAGTTTGTCATGGAAGAAACTGCAACTGGAGGCATTGCTCACATTGTAGACCTACCACAGGAGATTGTCCAACAGCATCTTGAAGAGATTAGAGATGAGCTCAATAAGACAATACAGTATCAAGAACCAGATACTGTTGAACAGAGAGTTAAACCTAGTTCTGGTGATGCTAATGGGAAGGTTGAAGTACTCAGAGATACTGTAAAAATACTCCGAGATGATAAAGTTGATGATAAAGTTAGAAGATTAGATTCAATCGGCTTGAACACTAATCGTTCATCTTTAGAAACAAATAATCTTGATAAAGTTTTTAAATATTATGAATCGCAGAGAAACCGAAATCAAGGACTGGGAAAGGATGAGGAGAACATTCTTCAAGCTGAGGCAATACACACAGGTGCTGAATTATCAGAGGATGATCTGCCTGTCACTAGAACCAGAGATGCACTGGAGGAAAGGTTCATAATAAGTGATCAGTTGAACATGAATGAGATCTTTGAAGCATTTTATAATGGAAGAATAACTTTTGAGGATTTGTACAAAATAAGTTCTGATCTGCCAATGGAAGCTTTAAAGGTGAAACAGGAAGAAGAAATTGTGGAGAAGAGAGTTGACATTCAAGATATTCAAAGACTGGAACAACAAACTGTAGAAGCTGCACGTGGCCTTTGCGAATCCCACAACCTATTGTCCAAGGTGAGTCTTCTGCTCCAGACCTCTGAGAAGTTGGAAGAAGAACGAGTAAAGAGAGACAGATCCAGATCTTTAAGTCGAAACAGACGCTATTCCTCATCTGAAAGGAAAAAGATTCATTCTCATGTTCATACAAATAACACATCTTTTGAGAATTTAGGATGGCAGGAAACTTTGTCCACATTAAGAGAAAGTGGAAACTCAGACATACTGTTGAGGTTTGTTGAGAATGTAAACCCAGAGGATATAACAGATGAAATGATTGATGAGATAATAAAATATGAGGAAAGTAATACTGAAAGACATTTACAGCATCGTCCATTGTGTTCTCAAGACACGTCTAACTTTCTTTCAAACACATTTACTGTTAACAGAAGCTCAAGAAGAAATAATACAAATACTCTCATGAATATAAATAGACATCAAGGTCTTCTAGAGGTGAATTATGGAGATTCTTCAAGTCGGAAGGATGAGGGAAGTAGTGGTGGTGCGACAAGTAAGCAGCCAACAAGTAACTGTCTATCACCAGAGAAGAATTCAGGAACATTTTCTGATGAAATTGAGTCTAACGTAAATGAGTTATGTTCAGGCACGGATACTCCCAAATTACACCTTGATCTAACAGGACTCAGGTAGGAAATCTTCTTAGTAAAATAATATTGCTGTGGTTAGGTACTAAATCATTTAGCTCTATGTAGACTATAACATAAATTCGCATGCCAGGGCCAATTAAACTATGATGTATACAGGGTATTAACGTATGGTAATTCTCAACTAAGTTTTAAATGGATGAATAGCTAAAAAGGAATGGAAAGTTGCCAAATATCTTCATTATCTTGAAGGAATTCTCCCAGGGCAGAGTTGGCCAGTGTTTACAAGAACCCAGGGAGGAGGCGGTGCGTTGTTAACCCGCTTATATTTAAACTTTCCGTCTTGGGCAAATTATTTGGTCACATATACATTTAAACATGTATAGTCAAAAGCGTATTTGACAAGCAAGCGTTGGGCAAGGGTTCACTCAACTGTATATAGACATTAAATATATTGTAGTTTCCCACATAAATTGGAAATAATTCTTTGGAGGAAAACATTTTGACTCTTAATGGTTAAAAGAAGATAACAGTAAGAGTTAAATTACTACATGTATTATAAGTTGGGAAGATATCTTGCTGTCCTGCCACTAATAACCCTTGCCATTTCAGGTCCTCACCAAGCACTTCTCCTGCTCGTACATCGTGCCATAACGCGGGAAGGTGGCTCGAGTCAGCATATGACACAAGTGAGAAAAGGCAGCAGAGGAGAGCAGAAATTCGTGCCTGGATGAAGAAACAAAGACGAAAACGATTAGAAAAAACTCATGATGTACCCAACAACACCATCACTAAGTCACAGTTAAACACCTACAGGAACCTCTCTCCTTCTCAGGTAGTATTCTGACACCTTTTAGTACTTAAAGTTTCTTCCTTTATTTGGTTCTTACAGTGTCTTCATGAAAAGTGATTCTTGAACCTTCACACAACTTACGTGTTTGGTTCTAAAATGTTCTTACATTATTGGTCTTGAACTCTCTGCATCACTTGGATATTGCACAGTATTTTCTCTTTACATTATTATTTTACACCTCTTATATCTTTCTTTATTTTAGCTGTAAGTTCTGAAAGTGAAAAGTGGGTTTCAGTGAGTTCATATGCAACAATGTATAAGAAAGTCAAATAAGGCAGAGGGGGAGAGAATGGAAAGACCTGAGTAACTATTGAAAGCTTAAGTGTGAGAAATAGAATGATAGTGATGAAGGAATTGAATGCAAAGTTATTAATTGGGAAGTGGAGGGGAATTTAGGGAAAATAGAGTGCCAGGAATGAATGGGAATGAAGAACCTCATAAAAAAGTTTTCTGAGGGAGGGTTGATAATCTAGTCATTGGAACATTTGTAGCACCACCTCCTCCCTTTTGTTTTAGCTGGGGTGTGGGTGTGGGGAGGGTTCTGTGCTGAATAAAATCGTCTGTAGTGAAGGGGTTAGGGTCGTATGCTGGAAAGGAAGGTTTGATCCTGAAAACTCATTATTCAAACAGAGCTCTTAACTGGGTAGCTTGGATACCTTCTCCTTCATTGGGTCCATCATAAATTACCTGGAAATGAATTCTGAATGGTGGATTGGCCTGGAATCAAGATAGTGGAGAGTAACCTTGACCTTGTGTGTTTGGGCAGGCACAGTTCTGAAAAGACCTCCTGCCCCTAGTGAGCAAATTTTCCACCCAAATCCCCCTCAGATAAGACTGATGTGGAGGAAATGGTGATCAGTATACTGAACCAAAAATGGGTAATAAATCAACCTTAGCTAACATAATGAGGATTTGTCTGAGAGCATTTAACCCTTCAGTAAGCCACCTCTAGAAAATTAGAGGCCTCAGCATCAGTCCTCAATTTACAGCAGTAAGAATGAATGAATGACAATAGGGAAAATTTGAAGATTTGTTTCTTTTTCTCTCTCTTTCAGCCACCTTGCATTCACAGGAAGAAGGCTTGAAGGGGTAATTAAAAAAAGGCACAAAATATGTAACTAATAAAGTGTTTTCACCATCCTCCAGAATAGATAAGTCTGTCTCCCTGTCCTTTAGCCTTATTCCATGAACAATATTAATTTAATTTGTATCATTATTTACAAATATTGTATTTTTCTTTTAGTCCAGTTCTTTATTGTAGCTCCCCAGGTTCTTTCTCTTGGGTTTTTAATTACAGTATTCTCATTTTTCCCAGAATCATGGGAAAATGATGGAAAACTCAGGCACTATTAAAAAAGAGAACCAGGACCTCAGTGGAAGACAGTTACGGGAGAAGAGCCAAGAGAGGGAGGAGCGACGTGCACAGCTACGAGAAGATCACCAAAGAAAACGAGAAAAAGATGTGGCTAAGCTGCTTGCTGATCACGAGGAAGAATTAATAACACACAGAAGTCTGATAATGAGAAACTTACCTTATGAATCTCCTCGCATGTCTAGGGAAGCACTGAGAAGGAAAATTTTTAATAATACTAAAAGCAATGAAAGGCAACATAATTTAACATTACAGAATTCATATGCTGATACAGAAATACTTTTACCTTCAGGGCAAAGAAGAAAAACCAAACAGAAATCTAACTTTGGACTCTCTCAAGTGTCTGATTCAAAACTTAATACCCAGTTGTTGAAGAGAAAAGGGAAATCACCGCAAGGGAAAGGAGGTATGCAAAGTAACACAGATGTATGGAAAAATAAGGACCAGACCACTTACAGAACAGATGACTTAAGTTCCCTAAGTATGTCTTCTGCTAGGTGTGAGGATTCAACAGATAGAAATAGGACTAATCTAATAGGAAATGCAAATATAGAAAGAGTGGATGGTGTTCAGTCTGAGCTGGATAATTTGATAAAGTGTTTAAAATCTCCAGGAAAGAGAAAGGTATCAGATGTTCATGAGAAATTTAAAGAGAAGCACATAAGGCCATCTTCCAGTCCAATACAAACGAAAAATTTTCATGGTAGAAGAAATGAGAGAAAAGCGAAGGAACAAAAGTCATTGAGTTCATCAGATGATGATAACATACACCAGAAGCCAAGTTCAGAAACATACTTCCCAGTAAACACCACCTTTCAGTTACCACTTGACCGCATCTCTGAGGTGGACTCAAATGTATCGGCCACTTCATCACCAGTTGATGGCTCGGGCTGCAGGGAAAGAGATCATCACCAACTAACTAGGCCTGATGAAGATAATACTCAACACAAAGATACCAGTTCAGAATCATCATGGAATATCCCTGATGATGTGAAGAAACTACTGTATGACTAATGTACTGAGAATGTGATTTAACAGACTAGTAGATATACTGTACAGTACTTGCAGTCACAGATACAGTACAGTATATTTTACCACCATTAGTTATATTTAAGGTTTGTCTTATGTCAAATACTGTTTGGTTAGTGCATCAGGTCTGTTATGTCTGTACCTCCCCCTGCATCAGCTGCATTCCATTCCTAGGTACCGGGTAAGTGACATGGACCACTTACATCAAACTTCTAAACTCTAATATAAAAGTAATAGGATGCTAGACAGAAAGAGTGAAAGAAAAGAAAATGTAGTGTATACTTTCATTAACCACTAGGCTTCAGGTCACGTCATACGACGTTCATCTGTAGAGCTTCGGGTCACATCATATAATGTTTTGATCTTCCGCTGGCCTATTTGTATAAAAAGGGCAGGCCTAGCTCGATTATGCTGCCAAGTAGGTATTTATCTTTCACTCACTCGCACATGAGAGCCTCCCAGTCTCTTCTCAGCTTTTGTGATGTCGGCATCTTGCCTTTGGACTTGACTCACTTCACCATGTGTTTCTACCCCCCAACCCCCAAGCACAAGTCTAGTATTGTGGTCAGTTACTGGAGCAGTAATAATTATTGTTAATAGTGTAAACGGTAACAACATGTTAAAACAGGTGTCCTGTACCTCATACTGCCTATAAATTAGTGTTGTTTACCTCGTTATGACTACGTATGTCACACACATGCCACTTCATGACCATTCTCGACTCTTCCTAGCCCTTGTGTTGCCAACCTATGGTAAGGACATGTATTTATTTCCTGTTTATATTATGCATGGCCAGTTTATAAGGCTAGAATTTTTTTATTTGTTTTTAAATGTTCCTGTATATATCCACGGGGGTAGGGGGGAGAGATAGTGACCACAGCTCGAAGCTCAGGTGTTAACTCAAGTTGAATGATATAGGACCTCCTCCACAGTATGATATATGAATGTCCATATGTAATTAATTTTCTTCACTAAACTGAATCATCAGTATAACTCATATCTCATAGTCTTCCACTTTCATATCTATTTCTTTTTATACATTTTCTATATTTCCTGCCGTTCAGACACGTTCACCGATTCATTTCCTAGGTCATGTCATACTTTTCAAATCCTAGTCTTTAATTAGTTGGCTACCTGATTTAATTTCTTTTGTTATTTTGTATATTTTACACAGATTAGCTGAAAAGGTACAGTGGATTTCAAATTTCTACCATCTTTTGAATAAGGAGAAATAAAATGTAAAGTTTACTGTATAGATAAATAAAATATCTATGTTTATAAAATACTCTTTCCTTCCATACAGCAACATAGCTAATAGCTCTCCTCCAAAAACTTTATTTATGACACATCACTCAGCCTTCTACATTTGTGTCTCGCCAACACTTAGCTATCTTATGATACAGAAGAATATCTCAAGTCAAAATAGATTGGAATGCCTTTACAACTGGAGAAGTGAGAATGACTATATGACTTAATTCTATGGCCCAAAAATGGCCAAAATGGCATTGAAATTGCACTAAAACTACCATTATTTAATATTCTTTTTTTATCCCAAGTTAAAGGAAGAAGCATAGCTTGTGAACTTTTAAGAAACTAGACCCTGCCCAGTGTATGAAAATGAAGGTGGGTCCCATAGGCATGTGTGGATACAGCACACTACCATGTAAAAAAGCATATATCCAGATGGTCCAATGGATTTTCTAAATGAGCAATATGATTCATGTTGTCTTGATAGGGTTGTGTGATATTGTTTCGCAAAGTGTTGACAGATATATTTTTAACCATGTATACTTGATGCGGGTAAGTAGAACACATTCCGTTACTTTACTGAAACAGGAAGTAAGGAAGATAGGTCTGAATTCATTACAAATTATTAGTATTAGGAATGGGCACTTTTGTGCTGGAGGTCCATGCACTGGTCGATTATATACAGTACTCCATATGTCGACAGGTAGTGTAGAACAGGAGAAGAGGGTTACTGAGGACTTTCAAGAGTACTGTAGTGAAGAACAGAATAATAAGATCTACTGTCATCACCCAGGGCTGTTGCCTTACCCAGAAGAGCATGCCATAGTTCCTCCTTGGTGAACTCCACCTCTGTCAACCTCCACCACTGTCGTCATAACATGGAGAGTGCGTAGATTTGAATGTGAGAAGACCTGAATATGCACAGGGAGATTATGAACTCGGAATTGTTCAGACCACTTGTGACAAGGTTATCTGCATACTCTGGTTAGGTTTTTCAGGTAAGGGTAGCTGTGAACTATGTCATACAACCAGTTTTGGGGTGTAAATAATCGTTTCTAGTCAGTAGTTTTAATTCTTTGTATCTAAAAAATCAGAATAAATGAAAGTTATATAATTAAACATATTAAAAAATGCTTTGGAGCGAGATATATCCTTTGTTTACATAGAAAGACATACAATATAAAGATGGAGTTATCACGTTATAGGAACCAATACTGCTTGTTTATGTGGATATGTTAGTGTAACCAAGGTCTATAGAAGAGGAGGTCATCCCGCACACAGGTGGGCGGAGCTTTGCTGACTTCACCGGGAAGACTCCCATGCTCCTTCCCCTACCTCTCGCCTCTTATAAACAGAACAATTATGGTTCCACACATTGTACTGTGTTATCTCAGTATCTCACATAGAAAATAATACTAGTAAAGTGTCTAATCTTGCATATAACTTTAGCTGAGGATAGACCTCAGTAAATTGCTAAATATTGCATTAGTGCTGCCACCATCATCATCATCGGAGAGAAGTTTCTCCTCCTCAAAGCACATTAAGAGTTTCTTGAGGAACAGTGTGACTGATGCCAGGCTGTTGGACCTCAGTGTTATTGGCATACATCCTCAGAGAGCAAATGCCCATGTTATGATGAATTTGTTAAAGTTTTTGCTTGTAAACGCAAGAGAAAATTTCAGCTGTTCAGAGAACGCAAACCTTATATAATTTTTTTTTTTTTTTACGGGGATTAGCCCACCCGGGCACAGGTCACTGACCCACATCGGGGCCTGGGGGGCGAAAATTTAATAATAATAATAATTCATAGTAAATCAAATTATAATATAAAATAAAAAATTTAAAATAAAATAAAATACCAATTATAATAATAACAAAGAACCATAAAGAAATACAAAAATTAAAAAAAATCAAAAGTGAGAAACATTATACTGTATGTATATATTGTGTTGTCAATAGTAAGAGAAACAATTGAGACCCTGCAATTGTGTGTAAATGAAGCAGAAAGTCAGATCATCAACCTGGGACTTGGTCACATATGGCAGCAGGATCTACCATTAGACAACACATTATGCTTCCAACATCTTCCCAGGCAGTAGTACCTCCCTGTTTGGTACATGCCCACCACCTACTACCTAGTAGCTAAGTAGCCAACAGTGACATTTCAAAGATGAAATCACAGGCTGTACCCTGGAAATGCAGGGGCGGATCCAGGGAAGGAGGGGTCCTGACCCCCTCCTTTTCATCAGAAAATTCCATAACTTTTCTTTAATGCAATATTGTACTCGAGCATTTTTGTATAGTAGAAATTCATTTCTATTTACCTCAGAATATCTCCTAATATCAAGTGCACATGGCTTCAAAATGGCCTGAAAATGCCCATGATATTGGTCGGATTAAAAAAAATAAAAATCGGGGGGGGGTTACAGCACCCCCTCAAAACCCTCCTGTTGGGTGCACTCGCTGTGCTCGCCATATTCTCCCATCCATAACTTCTTTGTCCCCCCTTTTGATATTCCTGGATCCGCCCCTGAAATGACTATGCAGTACCTGTAATAATAATAACAGCATGTAACAGTATGCTGTCTGTGAATTAGACCGACATGTGCCCGGATGGGCTAATGCCCGTAAAAAATAAATAAATAAATAAATAAATAAAAAACCTAACAATAAATGTATAGCTATTCACTTTGACGTCCGATTTTAAACCTAATTTTTCCAGAATGTCCCTGAGCGATAATCTGCTATATAATATTATATTGTTTGAAAATATACCCAAAATTCAAATACAGGGTATATGATTTGTTCTGACAATATTCTCATTTTATTATTTCACAAAATCAAGTCCCACTTCGAAAGTGAAATTATTCTAACGAAGATTCCAAGTTGGAATCTTCAGAAGAATTTCCAAGATGAAAACAAAGCAACTGTGTAAAAATGCAGAGCCATGCACAGGATTTTCGGCAAGAAATTGATGAAACTCCTCTCCCAGTATCTCCTAAAGTATTATTTTCTTTCTTCCCAAAAGATGATAAAAGGTAAGAGAATATGAAATGATGTACATCTAGTTTGATGACACTCTTAAAGCGAAGTTTATGAATAGTAATTTGTGACTATAAAAAAAAGTTGTTTTTTTTCAACTGCCCCTGAAGTCTACTTCAGTTACAATCTATGACAGCATCCTTATACTAATAACCTAAGATATTAGCATTCAAATCATGCACTAAGCATTTGTATGTGGTCTATAGAGCGAGTAAGGCTGTTGGAAAATATCAGCTGCAATGGTAGATACAACTATAGTGCGCCTTTTGTCCCAGCTGAGAAGAGATGCCTCGACCCCTCCTCAAGAGTTACAGCTGATTGGCTGTTGCAAATCTGTTCGATTTCGTCCTGAAGTAATGATGTATTTCTAAATGAATTTATTCATAATCGTCGGGATGACCGTTTCTGGCGAGAAAGATATTTAGCTAAATTGTATAAAGATACATACATTCATTATTTCAAACATGAGCACGTAGGAAGTTACTATTAAACTCTGGTAGCAACTTCACGCTTTCGGAGAATACATTTAATATTAACTTATTTTTACTCACAATAAGGCATACTAAGACAAATCACGTATCAGTAATACTACATTATGTGAAAATTAACATTTCAAAATATCAGAATCACTGAAATATTACACGGCCGTCAGCTGGGTATGCTGTACGGATGCCGTAGCTACTTCACTCCTGAGCAGTTGCTTCAAGTATTCTGCATAAGGGATTCATTTGTCCCAGCTGGGCTCTCATATCTGGGGTGGCTCTTCTTCTGTCCAGCTGTTAGATAGGGTGGAATCAAAGGCATTTCGCTTTATTAACTCTCTCCCTTTAGTTGATAATCTTTCTTCCTTTTCTCTTCGCCGCAAAGCTGCTTCACTCTCTCTTTCACAGGTACTTTAACGGGCAATGTTCGGTGGATTTGGCATCCTGTGGACGTCGGTCACACTAGAATAACCCGTTAAGTACATCCTCCTTTCCCCACGCAGCCAAACTGTGGAATGCTCTGCCTTCATCTGTGTTTCCATACTCCTACAATCTGTCTCACTTCAAAAAGCTGGTTTCCGGCATCTTCGCAGTGTAGATTAATATAACCTTTTTCTTTTCTATTTTTAATTTCTTTTTATTCTTATTTGTTCGCCCCCTAGGCCCCGTTGTGGGTCGAAGTTCTGCACCCGGATGGACTATTCCCCGTAAAAAAAAAAGAAGAGGCTGGAGCGACCAAGCTTGTCACACCATCCACCAACTTTCAGGGGTCGTGTAATATTTCAATGTGATTCTAATATTTTAAAAGGTTTGAGCCAATTTTGGACAAGATCATTTGATTCTAGTTATTTTGTTGTGTTGTGTGTTCATAAGTTATTTTATCAATAATCAAATATATAAAGGAGAAATAGGAACATTTTGGGGGCAGAATTATTGGCATTTTTCCATTTCCTCTCCCATTTTAATATTAACAAATATTCTCACTACAGTACTGTGTTAAGGTTTTGGGAAGATGACTCGACATGTTGTACCCATTACCGGTACTTCCCCAAGTACAATTGCTGATAATCCCAGAGCAGATTTGATTAATATTTATCCTGTGAGCTGTAGGTATATTGATTTCTTGCTGTGCAGGAATGTGTATGATTTTTCTTTTAACTTTAGGGATGAATGCTATTGGTTCATGTACAGTAAGTGAAGTCCCTATTATTTTTTGGTGGGTTAAATTTTCAAATTTCTCATGATTATTGAAGAGATAGGCATGGAGGCTATCCGCACTTAAAAGTATGCACGTAAGGATATTGTTTATTCGATTTTTTTTTAATATTTGGTATTTGTATATACTGTATTCGAAAAGCCACATTTGAAAACGCGATCAATGATTTTTTTTCTGATATTGCCAGAGACATTTAGGACCAAAACTACTGTATATAAGACAGGGAGCCAAGTGCTTTTAGACGTTCGGCCGCAGCACAATAATGATAATTAATTCGGATTACTAAGTACACTTT